CCGGGGGCCGAAGGGCAGGCCTGAAGGGGCAGCGCCGACAGGTATGGTCCTTAGGACACTACCCGCCCCGCCCAACGCATCCTGGATTTAAAACATACGCATCACTATTAAAAAGAAGATAGTTCAAGTAAATCCCAACAGAAGAAAAAGACGTGCCTGGATAGTCTACAAACATCAGTTAAGCATCGCTCCCCACCTACTCCTCGTTCCGTTGGTACAGCTGCTGAAAACAATGACACGCTGTGCGATTTTTCAAATACGTTAGCAGCTGACATTATTAATGCCGTAACTGTAAGAGAGGCAAGTACCGTGCAGCCGGTACAGGTTTTCCTTCCCCACTAGTGTTCCTTCTGAGAACAGCCCGTGGTTTGCTACCTGACACACCAACGTGCCACCCCTGCTCCCCCACGGACAGAGCTGCTGCGTACTGCAAGACCAGGCAGGACCAGGCGTTCAGCCTGACGTAACTCAGCCATCAATTTGCAAGAAGGAAGGGGCTAAAATTATTCAAACCTGGATGCTCCTCACATCCTCCATGTACAAAACAGAGAGCGCCCGAGGGTGGTCCTAAGCTTGCAAGGACTTGATGGTAAAGTAAAAGCTTTTGGCTTTGGATGGATGCACTCTGCTGAAGCCTTGCTGCTCTCATATAAAGTATGAACGAGAAGAGGTGGAGGAATGGAGAAGAAACTGCCAGCTTTCCCAGGAAAGGGTTAGTCACAGGCGAGTTTAGGAACAGTGCTCTAAAAAAAGTACCATGGACTGTAAACAGAGTTAGTGTCCCATGCAGGTGACATGTCACTTGACATCATTTCTTCTCCCAACCCAGACCTGAAGGTGCTAATGCCTCTACTTGTGCAAGTAGATGCAACTCGAAGACCAGGACAGTTAAAGTAAGATTTTAACTAATTTCTTCAATGGAATCAACATTCGGCATTTAGCTGTAATGATTCCACTTACGTCTTTTAATACAAGTTAAAAAAACCTAGCTGTATCGTATTAATGAATTTATTTGGAGTCACATTTCTTAGGGGAAAAAAGAGCAAGCTTTTTGTACCACATCTTTAGTTTTAAGATTCTGAACTCAAATTTGAACTCTGTTTCTTACTGGATAATTTTAAAGGGTATGCACTCTAAGAACACAAAGGAAGACTCTAAATACATTTTCTTAATATTCTCTCAGAAAGTTCCATGGCTTCTGATTTCCAATACATATGGGCAACTAATAATAATTAGTTTATTTTTTTTAAAAAAAAGTATGTTAATGTATAAAATCAGTTTAGAATGCATAATCTAGTAAATAGGTGTAAGAGCTACACTAGAGAGCCTTTTATTATTGTGATAATTTTAATAGCTCATATTTGATTGCTGCAGGAGACCCCAAAAACCAGGTACACAAACAGGTATACCTACCTCAAAAAAGCTCTCCACATACTGCAGTATGTACACTCCACAATCACTGAAGTTGTTCTGTTGTGGCACTTTTGGGTTGGAACCTTTCATGACATCTTTGGAAAAGCTTCTTTTGTTACCTTTCCTGACTTCCCATTCCACCTCTAAATATCTATGATAAAAGACCATGTAAATTCAAACTTTTCTTGCAGAATTTTGGGCAAAAACCAAACCAGAATAACCCCACTCCCAAAAACCCCAAAACAAAACCCCAAAATCCAGATATGAAACTTACTCCCGTAGTGTTTTCACAACATTTGACCGGGAAGGGCCTCTCAGTGAGTCCATGAGCAAAATGCAGGGCCTAAGAGAGAACACAGTTGTTAAGTACACAATACTGTCACAGCCCTCTGGAGAACACAACGTTACACAGCTAGCTAGCTATGAACTAATCTGTGGGGTGACTGGGAACAAAACTAGATCAATACTATGAAGTTTTGCCAGCACTGCTGTAATCCCCTCACTGGGATAGCTAAATGCAAAGTTATCTTTAGATTTAACCATACACTAACTACAGAGGACCTCGGAATACACTTAGAAAATACAGTACTGCCAGACTGAAAGCATTTGTTACAGGTAAAATCTAGTTGCCTAAGATCTCCTCAGGCGTCCACTGCTCTTTTAGATGCACAGCGATCTGGGACACTGGCAAGAGACTAGAAAGTGTGGCACAGAACCCACAAACATCCTTCTGGAGTAGCCGCTGGAGAGCAGATGGGACAGTCCACAGCACCCAAGACCACACTAGGTATGCACGTTCAAGAAGCGGTCCCACCAATAAATCCGAAATCTCCCTGATAGTTACCCACAAAACAGATATGTACTCTATGTTATAGACTTCAGAAAAATGGCATATCCATAAACAAACATCTTCTAGAGAGCCAAGCCTGCCTGAACACCCTCTCACGCGCTAGAGGTGCTTACACCCTATCACTTGAGCTAGAGGATGCCACCTTTGCAGCACCTATAAGCAGAACCACCATAGCAGCTGCCTTATATGCAACAGCTGGATTTATACATCAACGCTAACGCATACCAGAGTTCAGAATCTCAGCATTAGATGTATTTTCAGGGATAAACAGGATGCAAATTACTTTTCACAAAGCTCTGCTTTCTCTTTTTGAGCAGTAACGCACATGCGTTCAGACAAGGTGTCCTTTAGAGAAACTGCAAACTAGTAAATTCAGACAAAACAGCTGCATGCATTTATGTATAGGTTTGTTTGCATTTATAAATTATTTTACATGTATGCAATCTTTTGGGCACAAGCATATAATCACTTGAATAATGTTTGCTTTTACTTGTACATGTTTTAATTTCTGAGAAAAGAAAGTTGTTATTTATACAGGCAATGCTCTTTAAAAATGCCCAACCCAGTACTTTGGGGGGAGTGGAGAAGAAGTGAAAGCCTTTTCAAGGTAATTTTCTTTTTCATATAGAAGTAATTTAAAAATATGCTAATATTAAAGTATTTAAGTACCCTTAATGACTTTTGATACTTAAGAGTCAAAGATGAAATTTCATGTCTGGATTAAAACAATGTCTGGTGGAAACTATTATGTACAGATAATCCATCATCAGAATGGGACAAATTTAGCCCAGCTATAATCAGAAGCTCATAAATATGCTTACAACTCACAGCACAGATGGATTTTTACCCCTTCATGAAAATGTATTAAGAACAATTCATATACCTCCCATATCATGTATAAATGGAATAAATTACGTATATAATTTATATAAATTTTATCTTGCACCATGAGAATGTATTGTGAAAGCTTCTACCTTTCTAGTAACCATTATATTCACAAAGAAGGAAATATAAAATTGGATAAATAATTGTAAAAAAATTCAAACGAAATTGTGAAGACCTCAATCCTAGTAACAATATTTCTAGATTTGGAATCATGCATTTCTGTCATACCAAAATGCAAGCAACTGCAATCAATGATCATTAACGAAAAATTTATGAGTTTCAAACATAAAAAAAAAATGAAAGTTTTAAAATCCAAAACAGGTAAAAAAACTAAACAAAGAAAAAAGGTAACTGAACTTAGTATTGTGGAACATTCTTATTAGAGAAAAAAGAATAATGCTAAGAACAGAGAGGGGAAAAAAAAAAGAATACTACTAAGAACGGAAATAGACAATAAACAGCTACAACACATTTAGATAAGAAATGGGGGCAGTTAAAATTATTCCTATTTTCCTGTACTAATTTGAATGGTGTCAAAGGTTTTCTTGTATCAATTTAAGTTAATTATTTTCATTTAAAGATATTATTACAGAAGGATACATATAAACATGCTTCGGCACCTTCTTTTTGTAGGAATCTAAGTGCAAGATATCAAAGAACAGTCACATTTGAAGAAACAATCTTAAATTGCCTGAAGCAGCACACAGGCTTAGCAGAAACCCAAAAAGCTATTCTTTCACTTGTAGTTTCATTCATTAAATTTTCTGCTTACTGAAGATGATGATACTACAGAGTACAAAATTCTCTCTCAAACACTAACAACATGCTGATTACAGCGTTTGAAGACTGATGTATGACCATTTCCCATGACTACTGTCTTTCAAATTTCATAAACTTTTATGAAATTTCCATTTTACCTGTTTTAATACTTACTGTTTGCAGACAGTAGGCTTCAGGTGCCATTGTCCCATTTCTGAATTACAGTTATCATCTATGAGGCCACCATCATCACTACTGTCTTCCTACAGAAGCAATATGTTTGCAGGTGTTTAAAAGCTAATATTGTTTTTCAAGCAGATGCAAAAGAAATTATTGCTATACTCACCATTTTTATTCAAGACCAATAACATAAGTTTAATAAAGAAATGGTAGCTTTAATCTGACACCATTCATTGTTTGCAAAGTTTGCATTACCAACTTTTAGTCAAGTAGTTTCGCAAATCCATGCTGGCAGGACACAGAGACAACAGTACTATTTATTTAACTGCTGAAACTACAAAAAAGCTGCAACTGACATTTTCAAAGCACTGCTGGCTTAAAAGAGGTGTATCTCCATTTTTTGGTTATAATCCAAATTATCAATACTTTCCCTTGCTAATCATCACTAGAAACTTGCCTGGTGGTTTCATGTACGTTATCTTCTGGATTAAATGAGACAAAATCTGCAATCAACTCAGAAGTAAAATTTTACCTTGGTCCCAGAAGGCACCAACTCGGTTCTTATGGCAAGGGAAATTAAACCACCATGATATTACGTATCATGGGTTGCAAAAACAGCCATGCCACAAACCTGGGAATATCCTTTAACCTTTTGATTTCAATATTGACTCCTATGAAGGATATGGAAGTTTTATGAACAAAACCACTAAGTTGTTGTATGTAAAAGTAACCCCATGGTTTCTTACCCTTCTGCTGAGTTCACTATTACTACTACAGGCCACCGTGTCATAGGGATAGAGAAGCTTTCCAAAAATGGGAACTCCCATCTCAGCATGATTTGTGAAATTTTTGGTGAGAATTATGTACAGTTCACTAACACGCAGGATCCTATGACTGAAATCCTCATGCTATGCCATGAAGATGTTGTTTTATTAGAAACTACTGCCTAGTTCCTAATACACTTGTTTCTGCTGCAGCCTCAACTCCAGTTTTGGCAGATGTGAAGGTGCACTCAGGCTGTCAAGGTCTACCATTTCTGTACTTGCTTCGTGCATTCTAGAAGATACCAGGAACAGCTTCAGCCTGAGTTAAGTTCTAAGCTACAATGCAACCAGGGAACTCGGCATCTTTTCCTCCTCTCAAGGAACACAGCTGGCCATGTGCTTTCTTCCCTGCCTTCATGCCATGTACTTGAGAGGAGAAGCACTCTACTACTTTCTCCATCTTCTGGGAACTTTAACTGCTACAAAATAGACAGAAAGGCACTTCCATCACAGAATCACAGAATGTCTGGGCAAGTGGCATGACAGGAGAGGTGGCTTGAGTCTGTATAAAAGCATAGCTAGGTTTCAACATAAACTGGAGCTTTTATAGGTGTGCACACATATACATACTATTTGGAAGCTGCAGACTTTGGAAAATAATTGCTTGTTCTGGACTCAAAGGTGAAAAATAAGTAATTCCTGGACTGCGTATCTGATAGCCTCTGATAGTCCAGGAAACGCAGCTGAAAGAAGAGTAACTTGTTCTTGGGTCTGGTAGATAAACACGGGGGTGGGGGAGATGAAAGACAGAAACGTGTTGACTTTCAGAGTTTCCACTAAAATCATCGTGTAATACTGCCAATATGCAAAAGACTTACAAAGTTAAATGCAGGATCAGTACAGCAGTTTCCTATTAAATAGTTTAAGGAATGAATGTACAATTCTCTTCTGTCAGCTAATTTGCAAATTTTTGTAGGTAACCAGTGCTTTGGATTTGACACTTGTAAAGATAACTAGCTTTAGACAACGCACATTTACAATGTGTATACAGCTTTTAAGCTGCCCATTCAAAACACAACACGACAGTTCGTATTTCCCAAATAAAATTGCTAAATTCTTTACCTGGTTATCTTGGTCTTCAGAAAAATCTATAAGCTCATCTTCATTTAGTTTACTGCCATCAGTTGAGTCTTCACTATAGTTTAGCCTGATTTTGTGTAATCCATCTGTATCAATCACAGATAGTAGTATATTTAAACATCAAATACTACATCTTTGAAGACCAAACTAATTTTACATACCTCAGATTTGCTCGGGATTGCTCATAATAACTGTGATACAGCTGACATTTTATTCATGCATATGAACAAGTGTGAAAAGTTTCTTCTAAGTAACACAGCAGAAACCGTCCTTTAATCTGCAAAATGCCTGAAAAAAATAAATCTAGAGACCTAGACTAAAATCCACCATGAAATTATCCTGTAGTTCCATGAAGCCTTTGAAACAGTATAAATTGGTACTGCTACCAAAAGGGGCAGTCTCATTTGGTCCCTAATATAACTGCTTATTCCCATCCCTAGCTGGTTCTTTCCATGACACCAAATACATCCACACACAGTGGACCAGACTGAGGAAGTCAGTCACGAGCTTATTATTTTTTAACTTGAATCAGTCCCATGATCAGATTCGCTGTGCAGTTATACAAAGACCTGTGCTGGTAAACGGGAAAAGGCAGCTTGGGAACATGCTGCTAGGGAGGGTAGAATGGAGGATCAGCTCTCCTGGGAGCAGCAGCTTAGAAATGTCTGTGAAACTTCACTGTTTGCTACATACAAAGAGTATCTGTAAATTCACTCCCCACCCTCTCCACGTATTTAGTCACTTGGGAAACAGCATCAGAAGAAATAAAGAATAATGACTGTTACAGCTATACCCAATAAAGAAGCAGATACAGACAGCTACAGGCTCACTAGTCTTTCTCTACTACCATGCAAGACTTCAGAACAGATTTTGAGGGGAAAAATAATAAACTACGTGGGAATCAGTGAAAAATTAATAACTCATGCCAGGAAAACCTCAAATCTTCATAAGCAGACTTTTCCTAGAAGGCGGCTCTACGATATATCTAAACAACTACAAAAATAGAAGTGTTGGTTATGGTGTCACTGGAGGATGTCACCTATTAAAGAAAGCCAGGATTTCTATAACAGTAAATAGGGCAACGAACTAGCTAACGGAAAAAACGGAGACCACCTGCATTTGAGAATACTTCAACAGAGAAGCTGAAGTAAGACTTTGGAAAGAGTTCCACAGGGACAAACTTGGGAATTAATCTTACTCAGTATCTTTGAAAAGACCTTAGCACAAGAAGTAGGCTGTATACTACTGTGATTATTGCTGACAGATTCCTAAACAATAAAAATTGGTATCGAGAACAATCACATCTCATACAAGTATTGAGCAATAAAAACAGGATTAGTTAAGTAATAAAAAAATAGGTATTTTGGATGATTTCTTCAAAGTTGTTTAGGTATCAACTCCTACTGATTTGTAAGTCCAACACCAGGATTTAGTCTGAGATCAAGGCATCTAAGTTTAGGCTCCCATGTTCAGTAGGCATCTAGTGTCTCGCAATGTTAAATGGAGACCATAATCAGAGTATTTAGCTACTCAACTGAACAGCTACTCAACTGAACAGCTACTCTATGTCTGCTTTAGGGTGAGGAGAGGAGGTCTCTTGGTTTCATTGGCTATACTATCAAAGAGGCACCTGCTGTCTTTTGAGACATCCTAGGATATCCAGGACATACGTATGTATTTGGCAGAGTCAAGACCACAGCCTTCTGGAGCAACACCTGAAAGCTGGGCAGAAAACCCAATGCCTACATCACCATTTTCCATCTGCTTGAAAGAGAAGTTTAGGTACACAGTGCACCTAAATTTAGCTGACTAAACATATGGTTAGTGTCACTGAGTCTCACCCTTAAACCAGGACTGTGACCGATAAGCATGTCTGCATTAATGAAAGGGTGCATCATCTGCAATAGCTGAGCAAGAGAGTCTGAGTGGTTTACTCAGCAACAGAATGACCCTCAGCCACCAAATACAATGCAGCCATAAAAAAAGAGAAATGTAATCCTACCAAAAACGTATGTCATAAAGTACATTCCAATTAATTAAGCATTGGAACAGGCTCCCCAGGGAGATGGTGGACTCACCATCCCTGGAGGTGTTCAAAAAACGTTTAGACGTGGCCCTTCAAGACATGGTTTAGTGGGTTTAGTGGGCATGGTGGCGTTGGGTAGAAGGTTGGACTTGATGATCTTTGAGGTCTCTTCCAACCATAATGATTCTATGATTCTATGATAATTACAGACAAGTAACAGTAGCAGCATCCAAGACACATGAAACTGTATCATACAGCAGCAGTACCATAAACAGTAACAATCACATAAAATGAAAAATATGTTCAAACAAGAGCAGGTCTACACACACCCCCAACTCCCCACCAAGATCTTCTAGGAGAAGTGACACTGTTATCACAAATTAATAAATTTAGATAAGAAAGCAGGAGAGTGTTTATACCCACAAAGATATTAAAGTTGTAATGGCCTGCAACACACAGATTAGACCATATGATTGGTAATCTTTTCACATCTTGTACTATAAGCTATGCAATTACTCACTGTGTAAATTAAGTCAGTAGGAATACTATCGGTGACTAAAGTAAAAGTGTCTGCACGACCAGATGTTTGGTACTATACGCCTCCAAGGGATCCAAACCTCGCAGTGAGCAGCGAAAACATTTTTTCCTACTTCTTTCATCTGCCTTTAAAAGTATGTCAGCTCCTTTCTTCACTTTGGCACAAACGCTGTTCCAGACCACCGAAATCAGCCTCCATAGCAGCGATGCTTGGAGAATGCCTCTCCATATGTAACACAGAGGTCAGGTGAGATTTTTTTTTTTTTTTTAAAATTATTTCCTTACTCTTTTTACATACCTTCTATCAGGACATTAAAGAACTTAATGGTGTTGAAGCAAAACTTCAAATGCTAGAAGACACTGGAATTAAGGTTGCTCACACAATCTTAGTTCCGTTCCTCTATGCACATCTATTATGAGGATCCATGGTCAACTGCAATTCTTTCCTTATCAATTACAGTCTTAAGTGATGCAAAGTGGTATCTACAAAATGATTTTGTGTGAAAAAAGGTCACACAACTGAAAAATTAATCCGATTTAGGAAGACAGTGTTTCATCTCCAGCCCTTTCCCTCAAGAGTTATGTCAACAGCCACAAAAACATTTTATATGCAATGGCTATAAATTATTTACATTGCAAGCACTAAAACTTTAGCCACATACTAAACTTTCAAAGTATGAAGTTTACACAATTGCAAAAGTAGTAACAGATGTGAAATCTCCAAATTTTTCATTAAAGAGTGCACATTTTTACAATTACATACCCATAGATTGGCTAGCAGTTGTGAATTCACCCTGTATACCATTTTCATCCGGAGTCCTATGGTCTAGTTTATGGCATGCTGATTCCACAGTGTTAGGTTCCTCCACATCACTGTCTATTTGATTTAGTTTTCTGAAAGCACTTTTTCCTCTACAAGGACTTCTTCTACAACATGAAGACTCACTGTCCTCTGTTTCAGTGTTTGGGTCAATTAAAGCTGTATTATACTTTTTGGTCAATGTCTTCTTTGCAGCAGACTTGGAAGGCGAGTTTTGTGCATCTAACTCATTTGGCAAAGGAGATGGTGTGTTGCTCTCTCCATCTGAAGAGGAGGATTTTATCTGTGTTGTAGCATTTTCATGATAGTGGGGATTTGGTTCATATTTGGGTTTTTCTAAACCAGGAAAACAGATGACAGCCAAAAACCAGTGGGCACTGCAAAGGAAAAAAATACATTAAAAACTAGCAATTACATTAATGCTCACGGTTAAACTGAAATTTGGTAAAAACCAAAACAGTGAGTGTGCCTGCACACACACCCAAAAAACCCCAAATCCTCCCCACCCCACCCCCCCCGTTATCAAAGATAGGTCGTAATAGCTCTTCACTTTTCTGAGCAGGTTTTACTCAAGCCTTCACAGTCTTCTCTAAAGGCAAGATCACTCCATGCAATTAGTTACCAACAAATTAATTAATATGATGCAGTTATTTAGACAGCACTTGTTTTCAACTATTTCAATTTGCTCATACTATATACATTCTTTTCCTTCTTTGAATTAAAGCTTATTTCTTTTTTAAGATTCTCTTTATCACTTCATGAATTGGAGATTGTAGAGTTCATATTTTATGGCTGTATAAAGTTTTCTAGTAGTTCAGCACTAGCAACACAAGTAGCCAGATCTAATGGTACAGCTGAATCGTCTGTATTCTTCCGCCTATGAGATCTTCCAATCGTATATGGCAATTCGTATTTTTAAAGAAAATTTTGTCAACACTAAATTAAAAAAGGAGAGAAAAGAGTGTTTGTAATGCCATCACCATGACCCCATTGTCCTCCTCACCCTTCACAGAACTGACATTCTAACCCTTTCAGGATCAAAAATAGTTGTATCCCCCAACATAAAATAAGATAGGAGGTAAGTTTTGTCCCAGATTCCTCCTTATCTCCTTGCTGCTTTGGACTTCATGGACTTGCCACTCAATCAGAAACGGAGCAGCAGCAAATTCAGGGATTGAGGCACTGCAAGTAGATATCGACTGCCCTGATTTAGAAATTTTCTGAAGGTTCTCAGATTCCCTACAGCAAATAACAAAACAGAACCTAGCTATGTATTATGCAAGTGAAGCCACATTTCAATGCGTTTTAGAAAGAAGAAAAAGCAGTAGCTAAAAATGCATGTCTGACATATTAAAAAATTAATTAGACGATTATGAAGCCTAAATTCCATCAAAACTCAATGGCAGTTACAGTAAGTGGCTTCTGAAAGCAGAATGTGAAGTATGCAGGCATTTTATCTTGAATTATTCACCACACCTAGTAAATGAATATATGAAGTATCGCCAAACCATGGAATTTGTGTATGCTCTATTAATATAGGTGTTACGTAACAATTATGTAAATATACTAGCAAATTCACCTGCATCTAAAAAGAAAATAGCTTGTAACTTTTAAAAAAACAACCTGTTTCCATTGGAGACTTGAACATAAAGGACTGGGCTGTCAAAGGACACTCAAGCAGTCACGGTTAAATCAAGACGTACTGTTCTGAAGTTAATTCTCCCCTAGATTCATCCTGCCCACCTCCCGTTACTGCAGTTTGACAACTTGTTAGATGATAAGCCCACATTCCCTAAACTAACTGTTATGGGGGAGTCTGGAAAGACTTTCTGGAAGTAGATACTGAAGCCCAGCAACTTCAAAGCACTCATTTCTAGAATGTACTCTTAAACCAGATGCCAGAATTAATAGCTGTGTCCTAAAAGGAAAAAAAGCATCATTCGAGGCAGCACAGGAGAAACATTATCGGAAGCAACCATTAGCAGCAGTTCTAGAACGTGAGAGAAGCTCTTAAATTGTCCTAAATCCTAGAATAACTTGTTTCACATACTACTTAATTCAAGAGACAAAGAAACAAAAGAAAGTCTGAGATTGGTTCCCAGATTAATGTTGCCACAGATTAAGGTTTGAGATCTTTTATAAATAGTAGTGAATGCAGACCTTTCACTGGAACCAAAGAAACTCTTCCACACCTTTGATCTGCTATTGTATCCCACAGAGAAAGTTCTATTTACAGGGACGAATTACCAGTATCAAACCAGGTGGCAAATTCCTGAAAATAGCTGCAGTGCTGTAATGTCTCAAGTTGCAGACACTGGGAGAGTCTAGACAACTCAAGGCTGTATTTGAGTTCTAGGATCATAATCTATGAAGACAAGGAATAAACTGATGGAAGAGAAGTGGGCGATGAAAGCCTTACTACACTGTATTAGGTTGCACATACAGATGACAGGCAAAGGCATGCTGAAAAAATTCTGAAAACCAGGTTCTCCAAAACACACACAGAATGGCACCTACTTTGCTTTCTATGCACCACAGGCATGAACTGGCTCTCCCCGCTCACCACTGATTCTCTGTGCTCCAAGTGTTTTCACTAATCCCTTGAAGTTATGAGGCAATGCCCGGATTACAAAAAAAAAACCAACCAAAAACTAAACACCAAGTAGCTGGAAGTTACGGTCTACTGAACATACAGCACCTAAACATCTCCATTCTTGTCAACACAAAGCGTGACAGTCCTCATTTTGCACAGGAGAACAGGAGCATGGGGAAATGACGTAACACAACAGAAGTCATACAAGGGAGTTTCTGAAAAAGCTGCAACTTGGTACAGATGACTTGCATATCCAAAAGACTCACTGCATAATAAGAAGCCAACTAATATACAAATCAACACCACAAGTATATAAAAAAGTTTTATTTGGTACAAAAGCAAGGTTTCACAGTCCTATTAGCAGACAAAGTCCAGGGGCTACACATTTCATAACACATTATATACATAGCTACAGAATGCCCCCTGAGGCTGTAACTTACACAAACAGGATCTATACTGTATTTGCTAACCAGATCAGAAATCCTTCAGGTTAGTATTTTGCCATTAAGAAACAAAAATCAGCACTGATACTTACTGCCTCTTTTGTCAGCAGTATGTTTAGTTCTAAAAATAAAACTCTCTGGTTCTATATCAGAGAACCTAAGAAGCACTTGGAGCGGTACTATAGTGAAGTTAATTGTCGAGTCACTGATTCTTTCCTAAATATGTTAGCATCTCCCTCAAAGAAGTTGAGCCTTTTGTTCCTCAAAACTGAATGCTGGGTTTCGGGGGATGAGGGAAGTGACATGTTTGAGGGGAGACAGAATAGCAAGGTGCATCCAAGAAAAATACTAGCAGCTAATAATGATAAATTAAAAAAAAAAGACATACGAAAGATCTAATTTATGCTTTCTTTGCCAGAAAGCAGGTCAAAAACAATAATGAAAACCAAACCTGCTCCTCCCGCCAAACCACCACTTTCTCATCTCCCTGCATACTTGATTGTTTCTCTGCTCTGCAGTGTTCTTACTGTACCTATCAGGGCAACCCTTTTGCAAACAAATGTCCTACTATCACCACTTACCAAGTTTCAGTTCACAGTGAAGGACAGTTCCAAGAAGTGTGAACAGGATTGTTTCCAGATGAAAGATGCGTACCAAGAGTACACTTTTCGTGCTCTAATCACTACTGGATGAGTCCATGAGACCAAGCTAGTCCAAAGCAAAATCCCCAACCCATAGATGATATGACCATCACGCCTGCAGTACAAACTGTTTTGTTCTGCAAATTCACTCCTACTGAGCTGCACCACTTGCTAAGGTAGATGTTGCTTTAGTTGCTTAACAGTAAATGAACAAGACAGTGAAAACTACCACGTGCTAAGTTACTAGCAATATAACTGATTATTGTAAAACCACAGAACTGTTTCTTTTCATTTTCAGGTGACTTCTAAGTCACATTGTCTGGTACTTGCAGCACGATCAGCCTCATTTCTCCTATGCATAACCAATGTGGATGTGTGAATGACACAAGAGAGGACAGTGGGAAGTAAACCATATAACAAGCTCTAAGGTAACTAAAATTTAAGTGACAGACACTTCAAAGTTCTGGTAGTTAAAGCTTCAGGGGAGAGGGATGGCAAGGATTAAGCCTGCAGTGGATAAGAGGAGTATCTTACACAAGATGTTTTCATCACCTAAAGACTGGCTGTCTTCCCAAGGCTGTACAGAAGTCATAGCAGCTCAAATTATGAAGTCAGTGCTTGTGAACAGCTTTCTCAGGGGTTTACTTATGACTTTATACCAAAGACAGATCTATGGTCAGTTACCTCATAACTGCCTCTCTACAGCTAGCCTCAGAATTCAGCGAGGGAGAAGGTGGGAAAAGAGAAGATTCAGAAATTCTCCTCCCACTGCACAATGGCACGGTATCTAGATCAATTTATTTGAAGAGCTTTTAATTAAAAACCACATCTATTCTTTGAATTTTCAAAAGATCAGTTAGGTATGCTGACGATAAGTCAGTTACAATTCTCCTGTCTCTCTGTCCTCACTTTATGCTTTTATTGTATATTTTTAAAATGCAGTAGTTCAGCATTCCTAAATATTCTGGCTCAAGGACTGCTTATATTCTTTCTGTGAAATGTAGAAATGTGTTTGTGACAACCTGCTCTGATCTTAAGGAGAGCGAGCATCATAAAAAGTCCTTAACAACCATTAGAATGCTAACAGCCTGCTTCCTGACCCAATAAAAATATCAGAACAAAAGGATATAAAGAAAAAGAATGAAGCTCCCAATACAGGGCACTAGAGATTTTCAATTACATTTTCTTCCGATACAGGTTTATTGTAACTAAAGGATGATCTCATCTACACCAGAGAGATCTCATCAGAAGAAAAAGTAAGGAATAAAAAAGGTAAATCCAAAAGTTATCAACGACAACAGCTTAGAAGAAAGAACTCCAGAGAAGCAGGTAAAACCTATAAAAAGTACTCAGAAAAGGTCATTTTTGCTCAGTCTTCATATTGTCCTATACTTCTTATACTACAACAGTGCACTTAAAGATCTTACGTTACTATTTTGTCTTTATCACCTGGAAAAAGATGTTTATTCTCTTAATTTTTAACTCCAATTCACACTAATATAACTTTCAATTTTAGAATTATCAAACTTAAGCCTTTACCATATAAATGCAATAAAAAGGTATGTTTACTTACGCTTCATTAAGGGGAACAAAAATGAAATCTTTCTCAAAAATGTCAACATGCCGTGTCCATGTTTTTACTCGCCCATGTCGTTTTTGTTGTATTCTGCAAGAAGAAACCAACACATGATTACTTGGGTGGCTTCTCTGAATTAAAAGACTACTTTTCCAGATATTTTTATCTTAACAGATTCTTAAGATTTTCAAGGCATATTCTATGTTTGTTATAGCTCCAAATGCTTCCCAGAGTTCTGCCAGCATCATAATATTGTCTGTAAGGATTTTATCTCTGTAAAGCATCTGTTCTTGTAGCCTTCACTATACCTAGCTCTTATTAAAACTGACTTATCAACAGACTTACGAAAGGTTTGAAGTTTCATGAATATTTCTTCTTTCTCTTTGATTAAGGCGTTTATAGAAGAATGAACTGAACACATGTATTCTATCAGCATCTTCTTTTTTCAGTTTTTCAAGTACCAAATACCTAATTAGTTAAAAAAATACGAAAAATTCATAGAAGTGTTAACTCAAAGTATTCATCACCAGAGTAAAAAGGACTGCCAACAGTGCTACCTCCCCTCCAAATTGTTACAGCCTCTCACAAAATAGCTATAAGAATATTAGAGCTAACCAACCACAGAAACTCATTAATGCAATATCTGTGTCAATATTTCGAGGTATTAAGTACTCTGCTCAATCAACAAGTTGTTCTGCTGCTGGTTGTATTTGGTTTTATATCATGGCAGGGAAACAAATTTTCAATTAGTTTGTTACATATGACCTACCTAGGAAAGACCCACATTTTGTAACTGAGCCACTAATCTCCAAACATTCCCAGAGCGATGCACTAATTTTTTCACCTCTAAAATATTTTAACAGACTGAAAATTATATTCATGCACCTTATGTGTAGCATAAACACAGCAGCATATAACGATTTAATATGTTCCTAACACCTGTAGCATCAGTGACACACAAAAAAATAAATTTATGTATTATCTTAATCAAAACAAATCAAATTCTGGGGAATATAAATACTCTTGAAAAAAACAACTGAACTTAGAAATGCCTTTTTTTTTATACTTGCAGTTAAAATTCCTCTTCAGATGCCAAGAAATTTTAAAGAACCTTTTTTCCAAGTGAGAACAATCTCACTTTCAAGCAGGATAGGAGAGGAACCAAAACTTCTTGCAAAAATACAAAACAACTTTTAAAATCGAAACTATGCATAGTTGAAGACCAAATGTTATCAACTGACCTATGAATTTTTAATGTCAGAACTTTTCAAGTTACAAAGTAAAAGATGACTAAAAACTGATTTGAAATAAAACTTACTTTAAATAAAAATCAATAATAACATCATTCAAAAATTCTCCTTCATTTAGACAATGGAGGTCTTCATTGGTCACAGAAATACCACCTTTAGCTGGAGGAGGTGGATAAACTATCAACCTGAAAAGAAAAATACATTCAATAATAAATATGAAATGTCAAAAAACCTCAGAAAATTGTTACAGGGCAAAGATAAATATCTTACTTTTCTATAGGACCAATAAATACTGTATGTGGTTCTCCAATTTCTTCATCATCATCAAAATATGGTAACTGTTTATTTCGCTGCTGCATTTTGGACTCAGAAGCAACCTTACAAGAACAAAGTCAATATTAATTTGCATACTGCGGTCAAATTTGCCAAACAGATAATAAAGCTTTGTGAAGTGCAGCAGTGTAATACCCATTGCTTTTGAGAAGAACTTCAAGTTGGTTTTTACCTTTCCTAGTTCATTTATTACACTTAGGTCTGTACTCACTTCTTGCAGAGCCACAACACTTTCGAATTCTTTAAGAGGTAGTTTTGTTTAAAGAAGGCATTAATTAAATTTAATTACAACACTGCAACTTCACTTCTGGTTTGAAATATTTTAATTTTACCAGGAGATGAATTTGGAAACAATTATGTTGTCTAATTATAGTACAAATTTCTTGTCCCTTAGTAATTTTTAAATGACAACATTATTTGTGGACCATTGTACAACCTTATGATCAAGCTAAACACACCAAAATGTACTGTGAATGCAGAGACTATTTTCCACAGTCTCATAACCCATCATGGACCAGTCTGGGAATCCTCATATAAAAGCCAGGAGAAGTTGTTGGGATTTTTTTTCGGTCTAGTGACTAGCACACTATCTTCAGTGTATTTGTAACTCAAATAATATAATGACTTGGTTCTAAAACAAAAACATAATTACATTTTTTATTTTGTTTTCTCTGTGGGATGGACTTCCTTTGGAATTGTCTTCCAAGCACTTAGTAAATGCAACAAGCCTGCCATTGGCTTCTTCAAAGGAAATTTTCACAAAGAAGTCAGAAATATTATTTCTAATACCAATGTCAGTAATTATTTTTTCAAATATTGAGTTTGCATGAGGATCAAGACCAGTTTCAAAAATCAGAATAATGTACTGTTCTTCTTGACCTACAAAAAAGCAGAAAGAAAATTATTCATTTAGAAACAAAATAAAATATGTCACAATTATAAACAAATTTCAACGAATCGTGGGCCAACATGAGTACACACTGCCGACAATACATAGAAGCAGTAATACACACGTATGCAGGTAGATTGAAGGATTAACTACCAAACCCTTCTACCTACATTTGCAAAAAAGAGTACATTCACCTTCTGCCTTAATCTAGCAATGTTAATTATTACACCTGATAAATTTTTATGACACTGAACACAAAGCCAAAACATAAGCTTCTCTGCTTACTGACAGTAAGATTCTGTAATCAGTACTTTCTCTTTTTCTTATTACAGTTCCTATCCTATTGTTTCAATACAATGCCAGAAATTATGTATTCAGCATAATTTCCTCTCTATATAGGGAAACATGATACCCTAATTTCTCCCAGGTCAACACTAAGAAGTCTAGAGCAGCTCTCTCAAAAATCAATCAACATACATTCACTTGTGGAAATTTATTACAAAAGGAGAACTGTATTAAGAATGTAGACGGGCTTTTGTGGTCCTAATGTTTATTCTAAAAATGGCTTTCATCTACTTAACCTCTTGAACATCTACACGTTATTTTATTAAGATTTCAGCCTGGTTTTCTCCTACTTTCAAATAGATGTGACTGCAAAAGGTGAAGAAAAAAAGAGAAGAGAGAACTAAGACAACATACACTACATTAAGCAAGAAACAGTATATGAGACCCCATGATTCAGGTAGATTCATGGTTTTTCTGACCCTAGAAGGCTGCACTATAAAACATTACTGCTTTTTGAAAATTTTACATATTAAAGTCACTACAGCATATAAGCGCAGAGGTTCCCAGCCTTTTAGCTAAAACAGTCTACAAGAATCACTTTTACATGGATACACAGCACTGACATCTACATGTCAGCTCTTTCAGATAATAGAGACTCTCAGAATCAGTGACAGGTTGAGAAAAATACTATTTTAACTTGGAGCAGCTAGCAAGTAGGACACAAAACTTAAACCACTGCTTAGAAACTAAACTGCACAGAATACTGCGGGGGGAAAAACATACATTTTTTGAGACAATTGTTTCCAGACTTAAAGACTTAAAGGGAGAAAATAAGCATGATGTGTTTTTAAAAAGTAAAAATTGCATACCACATATTGAAAGCACAAAGTTCTAATGAAACTATTCTTACTGATTCTAGGCACGTGTCGTTGGGTACATAAGCACAAAACCTCGTAATGGTAAATTCACAAAAGAAACAGTTATTTTTCTCTGATCAGGTTTCTGTTACCATAGAAACAGAAATCTCTTAAGGATCTCCAATCCACTGGCAACCAGTTTTCATTTCTAAAAAGTATGCACTTGAACAAGGAAAGGAATTTAAAATGCCACAGTAATCAAAACCTTCACTTCCTTACACAGGTAAAGGGATCTCATGACCTAGAAGAGCAAAGTCCCGCTTTCAGGTCCTGTACCATAAACAAACCAAACCCTCTCTGCCCCCAGTGAACATTCTGCGAACAGAATGCCACCAGGTGTTCTCTCATGCCTGCTCTTGCTAGCCCTAATAAATCTTCGATTTCTTTTGGTACGGTGGCTTAGCTTCAACAGGTCAGGGTACACCTTTACCAAAAGTTGGAGAATGGGAGTCGGACCAATCAGCTGTTGTATAAATGCCATCCGCTCACATCATATGAAAAATGAAAAAGTAGGAAGTTGCACTAAGAGGAATTATATAGGCAGGCAGACACAGGAATACGGTTCAGGCCGCAAATCCCAGTCTCATGTAGCTGGCTAACTCAGAGCTGCAGGGACCTGTTTTTCTGTAAGAGAGGAAGAGTTTCAGACACACACATAACCATTTCCTTTTGGTTATTCTGAACTTGGCATGCTAACTGTTGTGAAAAATAATTCTTCAACAGTGTATTTCCCAATTCACTGCACAGAGAATTTAGCTGTCTAACTGAGTTTTCTCATTTTGGAAACGAGGCATCTACACACAATTGCTTACACAGCCATGGATTCAGACAAAGTAATTTCATTGCTCCCAAAGCAAGTAGCAACTGTGCTATCACAAAGTACTCCTAAATATCAGGTAAAATAGAGCAGTTGCATGTAAAACTAGCTCAGTGCCACAGCCTCAGAGGGAAAAGCTGGGGGGAGAAAGGCTGAGAGACATGCTAAGAGAAGCATCTCTTACCCAGACAACTCAGGAAGCTTTTCCTTTTTTCACCTGTGAACACCTGTGTTCACCTGGGGTTTAATGCCTGCTCCCAGGCTTGTCTCAGCTCCCCCATTACTTTTGTAATTGTAACACACCTTACAGCTCATACTTTTTGCAAGAGGTGGGTAAGGCTATTATAACAGTATAATGTGTTGGAAGCACACAATTCTGAGATTGCTGAAAGCGTTCTTCCTCCATTTGAATGCATCCTGTATCTATGAAGCCAAGTAAAAGTATAAATACCCCCAAGATTTAACCTAGAGAAAAGCCTGTTTACGGGAAGAGGACTTTATGCTAATTTAAAAGATAGTGTGCATATTAAGATGCTAGACCCTTGAGGAAAACTATGTTGAAATTAATTTTAAGATACATGAAGACAATCCACTTATTTTCCAAGCAGGTGTTTGTCTACATCACATCACTACAAGCGTATGGGGAAAAAGACCCAAACTGACCCACACGACAGTGTTTACTGAAGTAAGCCTGTAAGCAGAACAGCACAGAAAGCAGCAGTAAATATAAACATAAAAATGTAAAGGCCCATATAAAAAAGCTAAACCAATCAACTTGTTTTCATTCAGTACAAATATTAACAAAAAAAGTTATACTAAACTGACTAAATGTTGTAACTAGCATGTGTCTGGACAAACAGAAGACTCCAGTTTTGCCAAGCTGTTCTGAACTGTACTCCTCATCAGCACTGGAAGGTGAGTGTCTGGAAAAACACACCACCTGTCCCAGCCAGTGACGCCAGTTTTAGTCTTTAGTGCAGTCAGTCAGCATCCAAAACATTAAAAACACAATTTTAAGTGAATAGTAGACTAAAATTGTTTTACTTACTGTCTCCTTTACATTCGTACCAGACATTATCTTTACTCATTTTCAGTTGCTCTCTCAGGCTACTACAGGTTGATGGGACTGTTTGTAGGAAAACTACTGGTAATTTTCGGACACTACACCATTCACATTTGGTAAGTTCTGAAGTTTTCAAGTTAATCTCTCGGATATCGCTTTCTGATTCTAGGAGAAAATAATGACGTTACATCAAATTATAGTAAAAAATACGTAGGTTTCCTTTACAATTTCCCCCTTGGTTTTAAGAAGAAATCAGTATGTGCTCATTAACTTTCTTAAAAGTTTTTAAAAGTTTGAAATTAACACATATCCAGGAAGTGATGTCTGTTAATATCTTAAAAGACAAACTGAACTCCACCATCACTTGTCAGGAAAGTAACCAGAAACAAACTGTTTTATCCTCACCAACTTTAATTTGGATTTTATTCCACAGAAAAACCACCATTTCCAGAGATTTTAATTTGCAGCTATTGCTATGACACATTTTACAATAGGTCTGTAAAACTTTCTTTCCAGATCTATCTTTGACCAAGTTCCCTTATAAAAAATAACTTTAAAATGAAGAGGAGAATAAACACACGCAGAGAAATTATCCGATTGCCTGAGGAAAATAAGGTACTGCTCTTAATGTATTACCAAAAAGAAATGTCAGCAAAATGGTAAATTTTTAACACTACATCTGATGCTGCGGATGCCAATATTGAGTATTTTACAGGTTTTACTGAAGGCAAAATGTGTGAAGTCAAAGTTCCCAGAATTTCGTGAAAAGATTCAAAAGTTCAATGCCGGTAATTATTTCTAGGTCAGAAAAACTGTTAATCATAGTCACTTAAAGCTTTAGTTAGTGGCAGCTTCCATAGATGCTTGATGGCAGCCTCCAACACAAAAACTGTATCCCCTTATGTAGGGGACAAAACATTAGAACAGAAGGAGAAATGGAGCCAACATAAAATCCTTCTAACAAACAAAAAATCAATGCAACAAATCTGTCTCCTCCTCTTTTCCTTGTAAAAGGGAGGAGACGCTGCAGGGAATTCCTGAAAAGTCTAAGGTTTTTTCTTAACTTAAATTCTAGTAAATATTTAATGCCCAGACAGATGGTGAGTAAAAATTACTAAAATGGTTACCACTTAAAGAGTTTAATTTGCATCATCCTGAACATAACTGCAGAAAACCGTACAATGGAAAAAAAACCCCAAACAAACATAAAAGGCATACCATTGCTTTCTACCCTAGTAGTATTAGTGGTTCTTATTATTAGTGGAGGGAATGCTTCCCCTCCCCATCCCTGCCATCCTTCCCTTGGCATTTAGCAGTCAATGTCCAGCAGTCGCCCTCTACACCCTCCCTTCTTGCTGGCAACTGAATTCACATCCCTGGGCCTGCCAGAAAGGGAGTCTGCTGCTTGTAAAGACAGGGCAAACAGTTCCCCAAAGCAGAGCATCCACTGGCTGCAGACTGGAAGTGGTGGCCACCATTTAATTTTGCTTCACTTGTTAATTCCTTTCACAAAGTTACTTCATTCAAAATATATATATTGAGTATCAACATAAAAGATGTACTCACCTTCTTGACTTTCTAGGCGTATTTTGATATAATCCAGGCAAAACTGTGGAAGATGACACAATAACATTTCAGATGTCTTCTCCAAATCAAAATTGCCTTAAGGCCTTTTAACTATTACTAAACACATTTCAATTGACTAAGTACTTAAATAAGGAAAAATTTAAAATAAAAATGTAAAATGTAAATTTTTTTTAAAAAGTAAAATGTACATTTTAGTACAACTCAAGGAAGTAAGTATATTCTTTATTATTCAGTGTCTCTTTCAGTCATATTGACTGTTGAAACTTAAGATATCTTCTAAGTACTCCATTTTCAAAAAGGTTAAAAATACTCTGAAAAATAACACTAATTATAGGGAGGAAAAAAAATCTTCCAAAGAGAATGTAATCTATCAGTAACTGTATTTAAACAAATCAAATAGTGGGGTTTTGTAGAGAGGTGGAAAGAACAACACCTCTCTGCTATTTATGTGGTTACCCCAGCAAGAAGTAGGCATTTTACCTGGATTACTGCATACAACACAACTAACATTCAATGTCTCCACAACTAACATTTAATGTTAACCTAGAAGGTTAACAAAAAACATACTGTTCTATAGAAGCAAAATTATTCACCTGCAGACACGCTGCTTCCTCCCACCTATCAACATCTGTTTTTTGGTAATGGTTGCCTTCAATTTTCTTAACAAATGCATGATCATTCATAAGCCCCAGCCCCCCAAGTACACAGGGATTTCAAGGGTTTTGCAGGCACGATGTTTCTCTTAAACACCAGAACTAGATCGTATGCACTAGTACGTGATAGTACTTTGGGATTCTTTGGGAATCACAGCCTCTGAAATCAGAGACAAACTTACTCTTCCACAAAGGTAAATATTACGTGATTCAAGTATGAAAATAACAATGTCCATCAAAAACTGAAAGGGGATTTGTCAAATAACAAATTTACTTACAATCACAGGTTCCACTACCATTCTTCGCAGTGTTCCTATTCGTATACTTCGACAGTTCAGAATAACACTTTCACAGGAATTTTGATAATTTAGAGGTACAGCTTCAGTTACAATCTCTTGAGAAATAACTTTACGACGTTTTATTGGAGTGTTAGACACAATGTTCCCAAACTGAAAAGTAATTTTCAAGGTTTCAGAATGTCTCACTAAGATTTATTGCTAAAACAAGCTTTTTAAAAACTAGTGACTAAATTTTTGGTTACTTTTCTGTTGGTCAATAGGATTACTTACTATAACATCCACCTCAACCATATACAGAAGGTAGAAATTTCCTAAAGGACTTTTTGGAACACCTGAAGGTGTTAATACTGCTAGATTCAAGAAAAAAAAATGTTAAGTTGACACTTGCAGACATTTTGTTAACATTTCCAAATCACAAACAGTGCTTCTAAAATTGCCAAAACCGATTTAGTTTTTGTCATTTTCAAACACTGTGCAGCCTGGAAAAACAAGCTTATTTTTAATATACTTTATTTGCTTATTTTTATAAAAAAACCTCATGCTGTAAAAGCACCACAATGTTGGTGGCTATGTTTTTTCTTTCAGTTTCTATTAGTCTAAGCTTTTGGTAACTGAAAACACTGAGTAATTACGGAAGTGCAGTGCATCACCACATTAGGAGGAGTAGAATCTTCAAGAACTATAAATAAATAAGCCAAATCAAAACTCCTTAAAGCAACTCTACAGAATTATTAAGATGTTTTTAGGTTAGATTCCAGGGTCAGAACACTAAATACTGAAAGAAGGCCACATGGAGTTTGGCTCCAGTTCAAGAAAGTCTCTAGATGCTGACTGAAGCTGTAATCTCAATGAAGTCTCCTGCTTACCAACAGAACAATCTTACAAAAACCTACTAAAATGAAAGAAAGCTGGCTGATAGCCATCAGATTAATATATTTATTTGCTGTATTGCTTATATTTTGCTCTACTTTGTCGAAGGATTTTCTGTACACTAGGCTTTTCTTTGGTATCTACATTGTTTCATAAAGCTGTCCATTAATAAACATACTTTTGGGTTACAAAATACAATTAAACTCCCACAGAAAAACATTTTAAGGGATTCAGTATTTCTATTAAGATTAAATCTCGACAATTATTTCGAAGTCCTTAATCACTAGTCTATCTTGGAGATAATTCAAAATATACTTTTGGATGCTTCATTTAAATACAGTAGAGAAGGCAGAAATTCTAAATCCCTGTAATTCGAATATTTTCCTAGGACTCTTGTTGAAGACAGGTTTTCATTTTTGTCTGCTGGACTAGCTAGATATTATTAAAAGCTCAAAACTCAAATCACAGACAAATAGTAAAACAGTAAACATTAAAGTGGCGTTATATTCAAGCAGCCTCTTCAGTAAAGAAATAATGAATATTTTGAGAGAAAAAACAAATAAACAAAGCTTCTTAAAGCTTCTTCTATCATAGCTACCAAAAACACTGTGATACCTGCAATTCTTGGTAGTTTCCTTGAATCAATGCAAAGTTTGTGTTAAATTTCACCAAAAAAATTGCTGTTTCCCTTGTTTTCAAAAGCAAGCTCTTTTCTACTTTTGTCTAAAATATGCAGTTAGTTTCCAATGTTACAACTGGTTCTTAAAGACTGGTGAACAGGAACATATGGTGATAAGAAAGGAAAACATTTGGGAGAGTTTCAGAAATCTTAGACACCAGTGCCTTCACAATGCAACGTTTTCAATTAATCCAGCACGTAATGCCAGAATAACTGAAATTCAAAACTATTTATCATCCAAGCTTTTAGCCCTACAGCTTTATTGTAGGCTGAGGTTCACAGCTTTGTATTCATAGTGGTGAATAATTATACACCACATTATAAACATCCATAATTTCATCAATTATAGCACCAGAATGTTGGCTTCTGAATCTCAACATAGCATGAATGTTTTGGCATCATTACTTGAGCGTTCTAACTCAGAAAACACAAAGGATTTGAAACTGCAAGTGGAAATCTGATTAGATACTCTTGTTGAGCCAAACTCACAATAGTGAAACTGGCAAGTGACCCAAGAATGGTTTTTATCAGTACTATTAATTCAACACCAGTTGCCACAGGGAATTTATACTTCTTAATGGCTCACTGTTGAGGTGGTTATGTTTTTAACATACTATGAAAGCTGTCCCCTTTGACAGCACTTAACGAGTCTGCTCATGGTGCATTTTTTGTCTTTGTTTATCGAATTCTTGCAGTGGTACTCAACTAAAAAACAAAAGCCCCACCTTGAAATCCTTAAAGTAAGTGCTATTAATTGCGACAGTTGTCAAAGGATTTTAATTTCAAAGGATCAATCTTGTTCCCAGTGTCTCTTTCCATGTTTAACTTGGTATGTCCAAAGTCTTACCAGGCAACAGCTGGTACTGACATTCTTCTGCAAAGTAGGCCCTTGAGTTTCACAGAGATACCCTGCCCACTCTCAAAGAGTATACATTCAACACAGAAGCATCTATGTGAAAAGCATAATTCAAATCATTATGAACGCTTGTAAAAATGTAATGAACACATTTTCTTATGTTTCCAGTATTCTGTAAGCAGAGATACTACTCCATGAGCTGCTAAATAAGAAAAGCAATCAAAGACAGTCAACTTCTGACAAAGCAAAACAAGCCTTTACATTTTCCATTTATGATTTGATTTTTGTTTTCTTTAAACAAAGCATTAAATAGTACCTGATCTTTCATTCTTGCTTTTCTTGGTAGTGTGACTGCAATTTCTGTGTCTGTTGTTATACTACCTATTCTCTGTTCTATTCCACAACTGTTTTCCTTTAATGCTGCTTCCACCTTTCCTGTAGAAGGAGCTGGGGAGGAGCGGGCTGAATCTGCAGGACGAGGTGAAATGCTTTCCATTCTCCTAGTGCTGCCACTATCCTCCTCATCATCATCATCACTAGACAAAACAACTAAACAGAAAATATTAAATTCTCAACCACTACATTTTTCTGTAACAGAAATTTCTTTTCAAGCAATAGCTTAAAAGTAATTTATGTAATTGTCCTGCAGTGCCAAAAAAGTCCACATTTATCATTATATTATGCTTTTATTAATGTTTATTTGGAATCTGCTCGCAGGCGCTCTCTCCCTCATTTTTTATTTCTCACAACTAACTACATGAGAAATGAGTATCGTTAATCTGCCTCTAGACACAGAAGTGAAGCCATACATTTCTTGGCTCAGTCAAGAATTGACAGTGAATAATACAACTTAAGAAAAACTGACAAGAGAAATTATGACTAAAATTGTTCAAATCAGTAAGACAACATGGTCTGGTAAACTAAGCATGGAACTAGAAACATAATTTCCCAAATTCCAGTTTCTTCCTGCTTGTAAATTAATTTTGAGTCTATGCAGAGAAAGCACAAAAATTAACATTTTACAAATTATGAAATTTAAATAAATGTGTAGCTCAAAAGGAAAGAGGGAAAAAATATAAAATAAAAATCAAAGACTGTCTTTCCCTTTGGGAGAATGAATAATGAAATTCTGCCAAGAATGCTTTTTAAAAAAATTATTAAGTGTAAGTCTTTTTAAAAAACAAACAAAAAAAATTCATGAAATAATTTTTGTTTTCCCCAGTACCTCAGTATATGTAAAGGAAATTATGAAAAGGTCTGTCCCTCCTCCCCAAGAACACATCCACAAAAAAATTCCATGTTAAATCAGTACTGTAAACCTGCAAGGACAGTTCCTTCATTATGCAATATTTTGGGTTTCCAGTTTATGGCTACGTTCATAAAAAGGTACTTACTTGGATCATTTAGTTCAGATGGTCTTGTACTCCTCTGTCTTAAGCTTCCTGTAATTTTAGGATTTTTTGTCCCAGTTATAAGACCAACTTTTCCATTCTGTCGTAACATAGAATGTCCTACAACTTCATTACTCAGTAGAATATCCGTTGGGCCTTTCCCAACAGCAGAACTGTAAAACTTCTTTGTATTGAACCCTGTACCTGAAGATTTTTGCCCTGTTGAATTCTGATGTATTGAAGAACGTGATAAAGGTCCCATAGATTCATTTAATGTCACAGTTTGTCTGGAGACTCTCTGCATATCCTTTAGAGAAGCACTTTCACAATGTCGGCATTTGGTCTGATTTTCATTTGCCCGCCCACAATTTGGGCAATCAGTAGAATAATCAATTTGTTCCAAAAGCTAGGGGGGAAACACACACACAAAATCAGTAAACATGTAAGTACAAAGACATCATTTCCAAATCCTGCATTTAATTTCTGCTCAGAATGAAGACTGACAACACTCTATTAGCAATTACAGTAAGCAGAGAAAGTAAACATTAAAATACAGTTTGATTTTTTTCATTTAAGAAAATGAAAAATGTTCTAACAGGAACAAATGTCATTTGCGGTAATTCTTTAAAAAAGTGATTAATATTGGACAATTCAATTTTCTTTCTTGCCATTTTTCTTTCCATACGTAAAAGGTTGCACACAATTCAGAGATATATATATATCTCTCCATCAGCAAGAAGGTCCAGTTACATCATTTCTGTAAAAATAGTTTTATTGGATGAAAATAAAGTAACCTAAGGATCCACAGAGTAATGCTAAAGAGGACTACAAGCAGCCTCCTAGGTCATGAAATTCATCTGTCCTTCCAAGGTAACTTTTAACAGCCTGGCAAAGCATGCAGAAAAACCACTCCTCAGAAAAAGAAAAAAAAAGAGAGAGAGAGAGAAGAACAAAAAGAAAAGGAAAATACATTGCTAAGCATAGCACAAAAGAAAACAGGACTTTCGGAAAAGGAGTTCCCCAAACTTTCAAGTTGAAACCAGGGGCTACAAGGGAAACCATATCCTATCACTGCAGAGAGAGAGAGATGTGTTTTGTTTCTCTCACATGTACTAGGTTCCACTTAACTATGTAGCCCAAGAGCAGAACTTCAAGTTCTAAGTCTAAGGTATTCAATACTAACACATAAGCTACTAAATGTGTACTGAGTTGAATATGGGACACCTCTAGAATTGAAATTCAACATCTGTTAGTATCTCCTGGAACACTGAGCTCAAATGCCATCACCACTGTACTGTGAACTACATCCCACCAAAAACTTCTTGAATCTACTTTCAAAACATGGATCACAATTTGCACCCTCTCCACCCCCAGCCACGAACACCTTTCCAGCAAATGGGACTTCCTCAGGTGTAGGACCTTCAGTCATTTTTAAAAACAAACGTAAAGACAAAAGTCATACAAGGAGAATATATTATTTTACAGAATTTCTGCAAATTAAGAAAGCTACATATATCATAATGAAACAGATGGAAAAAAAAAGGTGTATAAAATGTATCACATCTTTAAAATCTGAGTGGAGGGATAAGATAGCAAGTGACATGAAAACCAATTGTTGTGCCTCAGGCCTCAGTTAGAGGATGTAGTTTTTACACAGATACTGCTAATCGCATCGAAGAATTTCAATTAGATGTTAAAATATTCAAGAGAAGCTACCAATCGTACCTGAAGGATCTTAAGTATGGAATAAGTGCACCCCTCTACTTCAAGCACACACCAAAAATTTAAAACCAACTTCCCTTCCATGGTTTGAGAGCCTGCATCCTGATAGTAGGGGTTAGCAGTGTTTAACTAAGAGGGACATACTCCTTTTTTAGGCTCTACTTTAAGATAAATGACTACTTAAGTAGATGAGTTCTGCCTAAATGTGTCTGCCCTATAACTTCTATAAAACAGCATTTGTTTGAAATCTGCAAAATACAAATACTATATGCCCTATACAAATACCCTGCTTTATCTCTAAAAGTTTCAGAATCCAGAGTTTTTGTTATTTTTCAGGTTTTTTTTAGTAAGCGTTTTTGAAGGAGAAAATCCTCCTTCCTTTAAAAATTATGTACATTTTTAACAATTGGAAAGTGCAACCTGTTACAGTCTAGTAAGACAGAAACCCATTTACACTTTGCCTGACAAGCAGCTGGTTATGTCTGTAATTCCTCTGGCACAAAACCACAACCAACACTTTTGAATTGTTCAAAGGTTCCATAAACCTCCAATCGATCATCCGCACACTTTGGCAACTCATGGCTCATGAAAACGCATATGGTTCACGACAAATGCATAAATCATCGTGTTAAATCCCTTTACTGTAATAAAGGATAAAACTTAACCCATTCAAAAAAGAAAATAAAACCAAGAGTTGTGCTAGTGAATTCAGTCACAGCAAGATCTGTTCTATATCCAGAAAGTGTATCTGCAAACTATACAGTCTTACAGGATCATAACCATCCTATGGAACTGGAGTAAAGGTTCACCTCGCCCTGTGCTGTACTTTCAACAGCGGTCCATGGTAGATGGTTGAGAGCACAGGGAATAGAGTAAGGACATATCCTCCTTACTTGATGTCATTACCAATCTAGGTATTTCCTGAATCAGTGGCTGAATTTAAATCAACCTGTTTAATGATGATGTAGCCTCACAAATTTTATCAATCCCTTTTTGAAATCTCATAATACATCATGTGAAAAATAGCAGAGTTTCACCTTTTTTTAGGCTTACTGCTTGACAGTTTTAGCACAGGCACTCTTGTGTCTGAGCAAAAGCAACCAGTTTCCATTCATGACCGCTGGTGTTCTCAACATTACAGATTTCCAAGATAAGCATGGGAAAAAGTACCAGATGTAATTATTAAATACTGTTCACAACTTCAGTCTGTCTGATGGCTCTGGAAATGAAAATACGCCCTTGGAACAACGTAATTGAGTCTGTTGCTTTGTTTTTTTAATCGGGGAGACAGAGAACAGCTTGTTTTAGCAACACGGTCAGCTACACACAACCTGGCTCAAGGACCCCAAGCTGCTGCTGCTTCTACATGGAGCTCCAGCCCTCACTTTCCACATGTATACAATGCAGAAAATAGTTACGGAAGTCAGTACCATGGCTTTGTAATAGGGAGGAATATGCTGAAAGCACACCTCACTTCGACATGTACACAGAGTCTTCCAGTTAAAGCTAGGAGTTACTGCAAATGGCCTACACAGATCACAATCCAGCCACAAATGATGAGGCTGCTCTCCTTCCTCTCATGCTAATTCACGTAATTTGTAAGGAAGAAGTTCTATGTATTAAAAGATGGTATTTGTTAGATCTTCAGACTGAAAACTGTTTTATCAAGGCTGCGGTAAGATTCCATTTATTTTTAAACTGTTTTCTTCAATGACCATTTCAATCTAGAAGACTGTTTTCTGCTTTTGTCCGTTACCTGATAGGACATAGGGTAGGCTGCAACGAATATTTTACTTCTTTAAACAAACATAAACAAAGTTATCAATGTAATGATTAAAACAGAACCACAGAACTGTAATGTCTTTTGTTTTGTTTTTAACTGTTTTGTTACTTCATTACTTAGCTTGTATAGATCATATCTATATAAATATTGTATGTAGATCAAAAACTCAGTTATTAAAATGTCCAAGAAAATCCTGTTAATTAACTACGTATGTAATGGAAATGTATAAGAGTAGTACAAACTATTTCACCCTAACAAAGAAATATAGTCTGACTTACTTTCTAATACACAGGAGCAAACACAAGCTGATTATATATAAGAATCACAGACCTACTGTTTGGTTTTCTTTGTTTTGTTTTGTTTGTTTGTTTTTTTTTTTTTTACCAAAATCTCCTGACAGGGAGTTTTGCTTTGATAGTCATACAGTGTGACCTGTATGTGGCCATTATGAATCTTTCATAGTAATCTGGGAAGATGGTCAGAAATACAGAGCGCCTTACAGGAATTTCCAAAATATCTTGCATCTGATATTTAGAAAAGTTCCAGACAAAACCTCCTGGTTGGCTGCATCTAGACCAGAGAATGCCATTTGGATATCTGCGCTGGTTTCACTGAGAAAGACAGTAACTTTGTAAGAAGTACCTGCATCTTTGCAGTACCTCTATCTTTATTGTTATCAGTACAGAAAATCGTGACACACAGACACCAAAAAAACCCCATCTGTCAGAGAGTAAAATACTGTTCCTCCATTTCATAGAACTTTGTAAGAAGTACCTGCATCTTTGCAGTACCTCTATCTTTATTGTTATCAGTACAGAAAATCGTGACACACAGACACCAAAAAAACCCCCATCTGTCAGAGAATAAAATACTGTTCCTCTATTTCATAGACACCAAACCAAAATTATCATTTTCTGGTTTATCAATCAGCCAATCAATTTAAACATGGGTTCTTTTGCTTTCCAGTGCAGCATTCGTTTGTTCAAATTAGAAAATAAGTATTTCATAGCTAGTATCAATAATAACAGTTAAATATCTCTATGATTATAACATTTTTTAAAAAATTAATTACGTAAATCTTTCTCCCAACTCTAAGGATTTTTAGAACATTAACTTATTTTACAACTGAATGTCTGTTTTTAAAATATGCATCAACTTTTAAAGTTAAACAGAAGTTTACATGTTTTTAAAATCTAACCCACCTTTAGCTGAGGTAAGCATTTTTTTGTAGAAGACAGAGCCAAGTCAGATTGATACGAATTGCAGTGACGTTTCTGTTGCACCTTTCTCTTAATTTCAGATTCTGATTCTGATTCTGACTCTTCTGTGTTTTCCATTATACTGTCTAGGAGGGGAAAAAAATGCAAAAAAGTTAACAAGAAATATCTACTCATATGCTATTAAAATTATGATCAATTATTTCTTCACATACACTAACCTGAACTAAACAAACACCTTGTTAAACATCCAACAAACTACCCTGCTTCAAGTGTCTTATGATTTGTTGTATGAATAAGAAAAAATTCCCCAAAGTAACTTTGAAAATGTTGGGGTTTCAAGACTATTTCAGTGTCTCAGTGACAATTTGTACCTTATTATCTTTGCAGGAGGCTTTGGACTTGAAAATCGATACTAACTTCACTACAACTAGAATGGAGCATCTGCTACTGAAAGTAGGAGGCGATTTGCCAGATTATGCTGATGGTAATTTTCACTAAGGGACTGTTCGAATGCACTTAGAATAACTGGAAATGTTCTGTGGAATTAGGATTTATTCCCTCAACAAAGACTCAGCAGTACAGTAAACTATACTGCCGTAACCTGTTTTATACCGGGGCATTCATTTAAATACTGGAAGAGTATAGGAACAAAGAAACCCATAAATCAACAATGTACAGAGTGAGATTTTCTTTTAAGAAGTGCAGTATGTTGTACAAGAGTGCCTTAATTCAGTTTAATATAAAAGTACTATTTGTACTCCCTAGTTTAACTGCAGTCTCCATATTGGAACTTTCTAAAGTCTGTATTTTTTTAAATAGATACAAACACTTTTTCAATATACATACTGATAGTCTCACAAACATCCTACTATTAGAAGACATCTCAAAACTAAAGAATGATTCACTTTCAAAAAAGAAACAATAGGTGTTTTTTTTCTAAATTACCTTACTTTTGTGTAGAACTGATGAAGTTCTACTTCATGTTAACCTAAAAAGGCACAACAGAATAACCGGCCAGTGTAGATGGCTAAGCAGCTCAATAGCAGGCTTACAGACTGTATCTGTACCTACACTGACAAAGGTCAACCAAAACAGTGATTTTTCTTTTCCAATTTCACAATTTCCACACCTCAAAGCAAACTATATTTTCTCTACTGCATCTCCATCAAAGGTCTCTAACCAATGATATAAGAGCATATTTCAGTTGAGGTACAGAGCAGTGCTGCTGCTGGCTCTTCTATTCACTGCCTCAGCGCACAAATGTCCTTCATACCAAGTGTTATTTACCATGTTAAATATTCCACATACTAACAGTGCTACAGAAGCTCCTTGTCAATAATTCAAGAACCAGCTGGGGGCTTGGGCTCAGTCTAGATGATCTCCAGAGATCTGTTCCATCTCCAACAATTCGATGATTCTAAATTTTCCCAACTGCAGTCGTTTTTAAAATAACTGAATCCTAATTTAAAATTAAATTATAACATGACTGAACAGGTTGCAGAAATCTGTCACAAAGGACAAAATCCTCCCTTCACGCACAAACTTGTATAATCTAAAATAGCATGATATAAGGATATACATAGATATACTAAAGGTTACACAGAGTTTGGCAACACACCTGCCCAAAGCAGGTATTCAAAAAATTATTCTGCTTAAAAGAAACGAGAACTCTAAACATAACTTACCCACTCCTTGAGACCGCGGTAACCTAATGTGGTCTGCTTCTACTTTCTGAAGCTGAGGTGGGTATTCTTTTCTGGAAAATGAATTAGATATACAGTTGTTCTTTTGACAGACACCATTATAATTTAGCCACAATTACAAATGAACAAAATAAATCTGAAATGTATCTGAAAGTTATGACTAAGTAACATCTATTACATGCTATTTCTACACTTTAAAAATATTACCAGAACGCTATGAACAGCTACAGTAAAGGTCTTAGAAGTGTTCCTGATCTAAATCCCCTTTGACAGTAATCAATAGTTCAGGAGTCTGTCACTTTCAGACCCAAGTCCTCAAAGACTGAAGCCTGCATCTCTTCCTCCTCCTCATTCATGAAGTACAAGATAGATACTTTCAAAATCCAAAAATAGAAACAACTGTTATTTTGATATTAAAGTAAACTTCACAAGTTCCACAACTTACAAAACAGGAAAAGATGTAAAACAGAGGAAAGAGATCTGATGTCAAAAATTGTTGTGGCCAAAAAATAAGAACACAGGAGAAAGCATAGTTCCTATATATTTGTTTTTAAAATATAATAATATAGACAAATTAGTGGATAATAAAACTTTTGTTGGTATAACTTGCATAACGTACATATCACATATTTTTTGCTCAAATTAATGCAATATAAAGCCTTATCATAAGATTTTGAGTCTCCTGAAAGATATTTTCAGTTTATACACAAGTGGGTCAAATAGTGCTACTACCAAATGGAGATTCCTGAAGCTCACTGCATCTCAGTTACTGTTTGTGGCCGTTCTCTTTCCCAGTCACCTTACCCTGCTCTGCAGCTGTAGATTACTCTTCCTGTGTAACAGAAGACAGCACGCAGGAGGCCTTGCCAACAACTTCAGCAGAAACTGGCTTCCCTGGCAAGTTAAGCCAGCGCACTAGGCTGCAAATGGGTCACTCGCATCCCATGCTGCTGCTACCTCTGATTACAAGGCCATTAATCAACAGCAAGGGGCAAAGAAAACAGTTGTAGGCAGGAACATCTCAAACCAACAGCTAAATTTTGAGGACACACCTGACAAAAATTCGGCTATGGCTGAAGCAGACTTCAGCACTAGGCGTAGTTTTTATTTCTTTCAGGACAGCATTTTCTAATGCACCAAATTATAAAACCTTTGCATTTTCTAGGTAATAACTCTCAGAGTTTTCCCATATTTTATTATTAATTAACATCTTTGGAACAAGATTAATCTACAGCGCCCTTTGGGATACCTCTTACCTAAACACAAACACGTTTTATTGTGTTGAGGTGCTGCAGCATGAAGGAAAACTTGGGCAGAAAGAAGGGCTGAGAAAGATGCATGGCTGGATTGCAACACAGAACATAGAGACATCCCTGTACTTTACCATGAGTGCCCACAAGCACATAAACTACTTAATTTGTCATCTGTGATTTGTTACTGATTGTGTCAAACATGTTTCTGAAACAATCCTGCTCCCCCTCCCCCAAGTTTTTTTAATGCCTGCACACACAAAAATTGAACCAAAAGCAGAAACTCAACATGAATATTTGTTCATAAATTAATTGTATGGTTTTTTGGAACATTTTCTTTAAAAATTCAAATCACAAGGGATTACTTTAAAGGCAGAATTGTTGGAAATATAAGGCAGAGTTCAAACTAATCATTACATACTGAGAAGCTGTTACTACCAAAACCAATGATAACGACCTTCTAAGGGGTAGAAAAAACCCTGTAACATCATTATAGGAGATTTGAAAAATACAAACTTTGCAGTAAGGACGTGTGAGCTGCTGTCTGACATGCTGTAATTATCTTCCAGTAGTATTTCATAACAGTAAGTCTGGTTTTGAACATAACCACTGTTGGAAAAATTATTTTCCATAAAAAGTTTTAAAGATAAAACATTTACTTGATATTTAAGAGAAAAAATATTGAAACTATTTGACATTGAACTGAAAGTAGTGAAAACAGTATGGTAGATCTAGAATACTACAATTTCTTTTAAAAATTAGCTTGACATTTCACAGTTTCCAGACAATTGGAAGCTATGATTTTTCTTCTAAAAATCATACAGGTTTGTATTACATTTTTAACTTGCAACATATATTTATCCTTTTAAGATGATAAATTCATCACTTACAATATATTGCTAAATAATTTTTTTATAATAAATTGGAGTACAATAGCATTAGTTACCCTTGTCTGAATTTTGTATTATCAGCATAGGCTCATATTGGTACTTATTAAATGGCCAAACACTTGCAAGAATACAAAAGGGCTAGCATAAAACGAGTATCTTCTCCCACAACATAAGATTTTTATTCGTATGCTGACAATGCACCAGTAACACCCAAACCTAAGTTACGAAAAACACCTCAAGTCAACTGAGGCTTCCCAACACAGTTTACTTTGATTAGCAATTCAAGGTCAGGTTTGTAGTTGCTTTGTATTAGAAACAAAAGCAAAGACCATTTTAAACACTACTTAATTGTAGATTTCATCTGAAAAAAAAATGTTTCCTTGGAGACAGTACCAGCCCTCCCACACCAGGGCAGCAACTTGAAGCACCTCCTGTGAGTTTCCTCTCCTGTCCCCCCCCCGCACAAACCAGAAGGCCAAGTCCCCACCACAGCGTTTTCACAGATGACTAAAGGAAGGGTCCCCCCCTCAGCCCAACCTTTGTTGCCATTTGAACCTGCAGACCCACTGAGACCTTCTCCGGTAAAGTACTCGGGACACGGAGTGGTTTCATGGAGTGGGAGTGCAGAAACAGAATGGAAACTATACTCGGGTTTTTTAAAATTGAACATGACATCTGTCTTTAAAAGGACTATTTGGAAAACAAAAGAAATTCTTATAAAAGATTAAAAAACACACAGCACTTCAAAACAAATGCCTTCTTGCTGTTAAATCCTAACTTAAACTAACAGTTTCCTGTTTCAAAAGGAATGAGGGCTCAAACAGCTAAACAGATTAAGATGCAAGACTACCTACATACTGTGTCTAATAGAAAAAACAAGAAATACAGTATTGATTGCTGTTCTTACCATCCTAGTAAATATTGAAAAAATACAATTTTTTTTTTGCCTGTTAGGTTTCCTAAAAATATTTATGAGATTTAGATTTTACTTGAAGAACAAGGTTCCATGCTCAGAGATTAAATCATTTTAGGCATCTCATTTATCTCATTCATTATAAGCAGTTTTGATTTTAAGACCTTTAAGTACAAGGGAGGTAATCCAGTATTTGATAAAAGCAACTTCAAGAAGTAGTAAAGCATCGAACAGCAAAACATTCATTACAACACCAACAAATATCAGGCTCTTCCTGCAACAGACATGACAAAACTATTGGGGGAGTGTGGACTGTGACAGTCCTGAACTTTTGACACAATCTTAACAGCTAAATGGTACAGCATTCTTAACTAAACATGTTCGGCCCAGACAGAACGGTGGCATTGATTTAGTATTTTCAGCACACATTTAAGTTACTGCCATATTCCTTTGCTGATGGAATTGGACCTTAATATCTTCACCTTGGGCTGGTAGACAGACCTTTGTGACAACCTCCAGCCAAAGTGAAATTGTCGTATTAAAATTTCTTCTCTAGAGGAAAAAAAAAAAAATAAAGGGGACACACACACACAAGGATAGACAACAACGGGGACAACAATTTCTGTCTATGCCAGAAAGGAATAAACCTAAAGAAATATCTGGATCTGGGAATTTAGGATATCTGGGAATTTTGGAATTTGCCTTAGATCAGAGTTTTCAAAATTACCCACAATCTGGTACGTGCCACATCAAAAATACCATGTATGTGCAAGGCTGCACCAACTCCTAACTCTGTTGAGGTGCAGGCTCACGCAAGAGCTGTGTTTAATGCAGAGCCTGGCTCTTTGAGAGGCTGCCTTACTCAGCCTTTCCTCACTCTGCCTCTGCATATTGCTATTTGGAGGTATACTACCACAGGCAGGCTGTTGGTTTCTACATCGTTACACAAAAACAGAGTAAAGCATGGTAAGACAGGAAGCACCAAGCTGCTGAGGGGAGATTTGCCCTCAGTGTGTCCTATAGGAAAAGCAGAGTGCAAAAGTCAAAGGCTGAAAGAGAGCAGCAGCAGCACAGGGAGTTGGGTTTTAGTACACAGGTCAGTAGCCCCGTTTGGCCCAGAAAGTAGGAGTTGCAGCTGCACTTACCATGATGGTAATGATTAAGACTAAATTTAGCAGCTCCAGCCTAAATCATCTTCCCCTGCTAGGACAGCAAGAAGCAGCAGGGAAGGGAAAAAGAACATACCCAGTAGTACTGGATTAAGAAGCAGCAGGTATCCCCAAGGGAAAATGAAGATCACTAGCTTGCTACTCAACCCTAGTCTTCTAAAACATAAGCGCCAAATTAAAAACATTAATAGCTGAATGGTTAACTAATAACATAAATGTAGCACAAAGAAGACCAGGAAAAAAACACATGAACTCAAAGCCCAGGCAGCGAGAGGATGATCAAATCCCAAATCTTAGAGGGCCTAAACTAACTGGTGAGTATCTCTCTGATATTTCTTTTAAGAAATAACGAAAGTCAGTAAAACAGAAAGGCTTCATTTTACTACTGAGTTTGAAATAAATCTAGAAAAATCCTGAATACACAAAGAACAGATCTACACTAGATTTCTGTGTTATTTACAGCATTATTGGTTAAACATTATATACACCGTTTAAACAATTCAATCAAGCGTATACTGCCAAAAAACACCTACATAGACTGGATATTTACAAAAACTCAATGAATTCGTTACTATCAACAAAACATTTCCACTAACATATAAATTTAAGGTACATAGGAAGAAATACAAATGCATGGTATTTCATACTGCTAACAAAATATTAACAGCAGTAAAACAGGTGTGAAATGAGTGAGAAATGAGCCTGAAATGAGCAATGAAAAACCAGTGTGCCTGGTTTTGCTATACATTTTGTTAATTGCTTTAACATATACACTTCATGAACAGAGTGTACACAGCAATGCAATAAAAACCTGTAATGCTATTCAAACTATGCCGAGATGACAGAGTGAAAGCTGTTAAACAGCCTACTAAGATGTTTCAGAACCATTCTATTACACAAAGTTTGCTGCTCTACAAGAAGAATTAGCGATGAATTCTTAAATTCCAGAGAAAGTTAAAATTTATCTATTTTCAAACACAGAGACAAATTTCCAGTGGAAATGTACCCAAAGTTCACATTAACATAGCATTATTTAGAGATGGATGTAAAGGTCCTTTTTTGGTAAAAGGGAATAAGTGAACCACAAAAACAGAACAAAACCAACCAACCTCCCCCTCACACATGAGCAGATATGATTGACTGGATCAAATATTCTTTAACTAGCATTGATAAAGCACTCATCCAGTTTGTTTCTTAATGCTTATTGCCATGCTCATTTCATCAACAGTAAGCTTACCTTTCCTTTCGGTCCAGATTGCTTAAAATATGAAAAAAGAAAAAAAAATGTAAGATGCAAAGCCCCACACGTGTTGCACATCACTAAATTCAAAAGTTATTAAATATAAACTATAACTGTTTCACTGTCTCTCGCACTCACTGGGCTAGTTTTCAAATGAGTGTTATTATTTCTCACAGCATTTTTGTAATAGTAATTATAAACATACAAACAAACGTTACTTCACAGACAGCAATGGTCAGTGGTCTAAATACGACATTGTCTTGCCTCTTTTTCAATCTGTAAAATTTGATTAATTCTGAACGCAACCTGGTTGTCTCACTTAATTCACGACAATGTAGAACCTGACGTGACAAAATCCTAATACATGAGCTAAGATCAAGCCTCATTTCCAATCCTTGATGGCCATGCAAAAGAAGAAAAAACAAATTTACATAACATCTCATTTTCAACTATTCAAAAAAATATTCAAGTGTTTAAATTGAGGGAAAAAAATTCAGAAAGCATTACTTAAGTGTTTAGGAGCCTGCACGCAATCAGCTACTGGATAGAGAAGGATAAAGAGAAGCAGTAAGCCTCCTCCTGAGATTTTGGCTAAAAAGAATCTCCAAAAATACTTAAGAATTAGGGCTACTAGTTTCAGAAGTGTCTCCTTTAACATCAGTGAATGTAGCTGGTGCTCACAGCTCAGGTCCTTTGTATAACAAGGCTGATATAAAAATAGAACCAAGCACAGCACGAAGACAACTTGAAAACAGTATCTTTATCTCTCCTGCCTTTTCAAAACTTGCAATATGGAATGCTGTAAGCTTTTAATCTATGTGGCGGTTCCTCCCAAATATCAAAAGCCTAACAAACTTCTGTCATATGTGCATGACACTAACATTATTCTAAATCAGAACAAATTCAAACTGATTCCTCTTTTACTTTAGTCAAATTAAACAGAGTAATGATATTACAGAGTAATATAAACTCATTTGCCTTTCCTTTTCACAAACAACACCCTCACAAGAACAGAGCAAACTCTCACTCTCTTGTTACTCAGAGGAACAGCAGGATCGAAAGTAAACCAGGGAAGAAGGTAATCCTGAGAATCCTATGGAATGTAGCATGAAAACACATTCAATCTCCACAGTGGTCTGGGAAGAGACTAAAAGGAATTAAAAACTGAACGTGACCACTGCAACTTAGACTAGCGCGGGGGCAATCAGCCAATGCTGCATGAAAGTGGGGAAAAATTGTTTCCAACTGGAGCTAGCCTTTACAACCAATAAGCACTGGTTTTGTGCAGGTCACATCCGAGCTTATAAATCCAGTCAGAACCAAACCATATCTGCATGGAGCCATATCCAGGTTCTCTGTGTCCTTGGCACTGTTAATAGGTAACTTGGACTATTTGTTCACAGGTCCTGTGAAGAGTCACACTGTGAAGAACTGTAAGTTTTAATGCTAAGGAGACCTAAAGGCAGGAAAAAAAATTCCAAAATGCCTGATACTGTACTCTGTCATTACATTAGATGCCTCACTTGTTTTAAAATCATAGAATCATAGAATCCTTTAGGTTGGAAAAGACCTTTAAGACAACTGACTCCAACTGTAAACCTAGCACTGCCAAGTTCACCAAATCCTTTATTGACAGAATACATTTAAAAGAATTCTCACTTTTACAACTCAGAAAGATTAAGAAATGAGAATCCTGGACAGATCCAGGAACTGTAACGATCAGTGTCCCTACAAACTGCTTCATGCAGCTCATGCATAAGATTTGTTAGACATGCTGTACATGCATGCTATTCCAATGCCAAGTCTTACAGAACAGTCAGTCAATAGTGTAAGATAGAACTATATATCCATTAAATGAAGCAAAATGGTTTGAACCAACATCACCACTAGGCTAAGCTGTATCTGAAAATCTGTTCTATCAGAAGTGAACGAATTTTTATTTCGCCCCTGGAATGTGAAAAAACATAAGTAATATTTATCAAAATATTATTTTGAAATGCCCAGTTTTGTTGTACAGGAAACTTATCTTTTAAATGTGAAACAGATACTCAGCCAGAATGTAAATTAATGTGCATGTGCAAAAAAGCTGGATAAAGAGATGAGAAATACAGTACACACCACAAGCTCCAAATTCCACTTGATAGAGACTGCAACTGAATTTCAAAATTAGCTCGCCCCATGTGACACCATCCCCAAAGAACCTAGTATAAATAACAGAATCTGTAACGTCAGTGCCAGAGACTCAATCTGCTCAGAACTAGTTTAATCATGTTTTTATTTTGGTTATCCTTTCAATAACCCACTATAGATTTAAGAACAAAATGTTAGGTTAGTTAAAACTATTTTCCCCATGCTGTTACTGATCACCACACCATAAAACAATTCTACAAATGCAAACAATGTAAAAAACCACCACTTTGTGTTGCCTGTAAACTACTATAGGAAAAACACCCCCAACACCTTAGAACTTAATTTCCATGCTACCAGCTTTCCTTTGTCTTGATATATACCTAGAATTTTCTTCTTGGTTTGCCACCCACATTCTCTGCATATATTCCTTTCTGAGGAGACACCATCAGAATTTACTTCTAAACTCAACTAGTGCCTAATGTCAGTAAAAACTAGCAAAAAAAACCAAACCAAAACAACTAGAAATATATGACCAAAAAAATTACCCACTTTATATGCACTGGAATTTTGTATTATGAACAGCTTTATAGTGTTATTTTAGTATTTTTTTTCTATGAACTATTATCTTCTCACTCATAAACCTACATTTTCCATATCAAGAAGCGTCGAGATCCCCCTTCTTTTTTAATTTAAAAAAAAAAAAAATCTAAAAAAAAAATGACTGGAGGGCATGTTCTATTAATTTTCAATCCTCTAACTCAGAAACAGATTCAGAAGCTTTTAAAAAGTAGTCAATTGAGTCAACTGGCAAAAGATACTGGCATTAAAAATCCTTTGCACAGTTCCTCTGTAAAGCTCATCCTCAGTCAATTAGATCATGCTGGTTCTGACATTTTCCAGTAGCAAAACATTGCTTGGAATTGTTATGACTTTGAAACTCCTAAAATATTCTTGGCAAAAGAATTAACTGTCTGTTGTTAATGTAAATGAACTACAATAACAACCCTAAAAGAAAACATATTTAGAAACATTCAAGATGACTACTATCCAATTACTTCATGCAATATTCAGCTCTCCTATACTATGCATTAGTTTCCTTTCTGAGTGTCACACATACAAAGTCGCTACTTTTATTTTTTCCACATTACATTGTAGACTTATAAAGAAGCAAGTCCCACAGGTGCGAAAGGCAAGCAGGCAAGTCTAACATCCCCTTCAGGATTAAGAATCTCTGGAGCAGACTCTCTTGCATGCTGAAGAAGCCTACGGCACTTAACTAGATAACATGAATCTATGTTGACTGGCTGTTTCAAAGAACCATCTTACAACAAAGCTTAATCAAGTACACTAATACTATTAAGGACAACATTCAGAGATCCAAGAAAGAGCAGCCTCGCATGATTTTGCTTACTTCAAATCACTTTAATCAGCACCGCAGATCAAGATTTTATCCCTTAGAATTACAAAAAAAAGGTGAAAGGTAAGGGCACAAACACTTAGAGACGTCCCATGCTTTCGTCAATGGAACACTGAACAAAAATATTCTAAAAAGGATTGCATGTAAGAAAAGAGCACAGCTAGTTCAGCCTAAACCATACTGATAACATAAACCTCATCCTGCAGTTTAATTCGTGGGAAAAATTCTGCCAATCCTCCTTAGTCATCCCTGCCTTGCAACGATTGAAAGAAATGTAAAGAAAAGGGAGATCTCTACTAGTGCACTCGCCGTTACTAACGAGAAGGAACTGTCCATGCTGTTTTCCATTTACAGATGACAGTACAGTTTGAAATGGAAGGAGGTAACAATGGTGTAGGTCCTCATGGACAGGATTGCAAAATACATTTTTCAGTTTGTTTCTTCAGTGCCAGATTACCCTAATACATGTTTGGATCACATCACTACGTGGGCTTTGTTTTTCTGAAGATAGCAAATGAAAGTGAGGGAAGTGGGATAAAAGAGAAGATGATGTCTACATACGACCCCACCACCTCAAAAAATCTACACTAAAAAACAGAGAGGAAAAAAAGGGGCAGAAGAAGGAGGCTACAAAATGCTGACAGGATGAAGCACTCGTGGGCTGCTGGAAATTAATGAAATTCATAGATAAAAAGAGGTCTGAATGGACAAATTCTGAAAGAAAATTCCTTAAAGCCACAGTTAGCTCATTTGTTTGTGACACACATTGGGTATGAAACGCCTGTAAAAATAAAAAAAAAAAAAAATAAAAATACAACCCTGCAATTTATAGAAGTCTGATGTAGTTCCACGTTTTCAGAACCATGAAGTTTAATTCAGCATAGCTCAGTAAGATTCCTCAGTTTCCAGTTGTCCATTCTAACAATTATTTATATAAATGCAAAACCTTGCTTCTGTGAGATGTCCCAGCTTACATGTTTTACGCTGCATTTGCAGACTACATCGGATAAACAGATCTACAACTTAATCTTTACATGGATTTTATTCAAGATGGAGTTTCTGTGAATTAGTATTTGATGATCATGTTGTCAAGTTATGTGAATTTCCACTGTATACTACGTTTGTGCATTTCAAAGTATTTTCTAAATGTATTTACATTAACAAGTGCTCTCCTATTGAGTATGTGTCATTGTGTGCTTTAAAATTAGTAAATTCATTTTCTAAATGTATTTACATTAACAAGTGTTCTCCTGTTGAGTATGTGCCATTATGTGCTTTAAAATTAGTAAATTCTAAGATTATAAAATAAGTCCTAAATGGTAAATTTTCTGAAACTTCAGTAATTAAGATCAATGTAATTACTTGTAATTACCATGTAATTACTTATGTTTCCTTAAAACGCTTCATAGCGCAAAGAAAACCATTACATACAAAACCAGAAAGGACTTTTTTCAATTGGAACATCTGGAGAAACAAATGTAGTCTTACCTTTGGGCTGCTGTTTTTACTACGGTTGTCTGTCCATGCGCATGGTGAAAACGTCTACCATGTACCACAGTTACAGGACAAGACATATTCTGAGCGTTTTCACTGCAAACATACAGAAAAATGGTTTAAGAAAAGACTCTGGTGTATTTGTACATTAACTTAGCTAAAAATTGTTCGTCCTGCTTTTAGAATAACAGTTTAGAATAACAGTCATACAAAACCAAAAATCAACAAAGTATTTCTGAATCAGTAACACAACTTGTTAGGATCCTCTGACAGGTATAAAAACATTCAGTCTAGAATAAAACAAACAAACAAGAATATACACTTTTTTTTTCCTGGAAGAAAAAGTAAAGATTTTTTCAATTTTATCATCATCCAAAACACTGTGAATCAGCTCCCCTTTACTCAATCCCATCACTGCAAAAAGACACTACCTTTTTAATTAATTATAACCATTTATAACTGATTTTATACTTCCATCTATACCTTTTATTAAGGCATAATATTAACTTCTCTAATATGACTTAAAGGGCATAACATGTGAACAGACTGAATTGCACATTCAGGAACTTCCCTCATCTTATTACTCATAATGGAAAATAAATGCAGGAAATTTATGGATGCAAGGTGGCTGGTAACTGAAACAACACATCTCAAAAAGACGAGAAGGATTCTCAGGTGCTCAAATATCTCTGCACAGAGACAGTATAATCACTGATGTCTTCTAGCATTTCTTTGGTTTCTTCTTTTGTTGCCTTTTGATACTTTAATCTCATTACTATGTAAAACAAGTAAGTCTGGAGAGAAGATTACTCACCATTATCCCCTCTAGTAAAAGCTGATATAAAGATACAGTAGATCAATAACATAGTACTCCTTCGGAGATTGTTAGACCCTAACAATTACCCTGCACACTTCTGGGACAGGACAAACAACATTACATTTGAAATGTTCAAAAACCATGCAACTTTTAACAGGCAGCAGGTCAATAACGTAAATCGTTTCAAATTATGGAAATAACAATGCTTAAACTTTGCTTGTAAAATTGCTTGGAAATTTTAATTGCACTAAATAAAATTACGTAAAAAAGCATCTTGATTTATTTGAAATATTTCTCAGAAATATTATTCAAAAAAAGTTTTGCTCCTGCCATTTCTCCTGTTACGAACAAGAAAAAAACGAGAAGTACCAAAATTCCCTAAAAAGTTGACAACCAATTCCTAACCCTTCCTCTACATTGCCCCAAAAGGTGAAAGTGAGCAAACTGCTAGCTTGCTTTTGAAATTTCTTTTCAGTTTAGAAATATGAACCCTTTTAGAGTCTTTATATTGAGTATCATAAAGCAATATTAGAAGCTTTCAAAGCATTTCTGACTGATCATAAGATGACTGTTACGATCTAACTGGTGATAACAAAACCATGAACATAACAGAACAAGACCTAACAAAACCAAACAAATGATAAAACTCTCCTTTCTAGAAAATGAAGTTTAGAAACATCATAAATGTTCTGAGTCAGCAGTTCAACTCCTCAAAACCAACATAATAGCATCCTATTCAATCATCAACCTCTTGAAAGGCAAACACATTCATCCCACATGCTTTCAAGTCAAGATCATCCAAGTCCAGCTTGTCATCATCATCCAGCCTAAATTACAGTCAACCTTCTGTTTAATGTTGTCACCTGAGAAATAAAAAGCTGACAGCTACTTGCCCTAAATACTTTAGGGTGTCTCAAATCCTCTCTGGCTTCCAGTTTAAAGTCTCTGAAAGGGACACTAGAAAACAAAACACAAACAGAGCGCAGGAATTCCTTCTCAAATGCTTAAGACCTAAGGAGTTTAAACAAGCAAGTAAGTCTATAAACACACCTAAATCTCATGTTTTATCATTTTATTTGTTGAATCTGAGCTTTGCCAAACTATCATGATCGGGAAACTTTTAAGTCTTGTGCCCCTGTAGCACACACACAAAAAATCTGTTAAGCAGCGCTTTTGCTTTCTGCCTCACACTCAAGTAGTGAGAAACTCCAGTAGGTGCTAGAATAGAGTATCGCAGCCTGCTGAGCAATCAGATTTGAGTCAAAGCAGACTGTTCGAGATGGCACACTTAAATGGTTCATATGTTGTCAGATATGCTTCCAAGTAGGACACCTGTAAAATACAATCTGCTCTATAATCCTGTTCTTTGAATAGAACATACCCAGAGCAGACAGAATCATCAGCAAATTTAACCATGAAGTCCTAGCAAGTCACAAAATGAGCACATCCAAACGGAAATCTAGGTGTGCAAGTTTCAGTACAGTTTCAAGACAATCAACATGCAAGACTAAACCCAAGGTGAAGGTGATGCAATGGTCAGAAAGTTCCTTGAAAGAACAAATGTTCTAGAAGTCTCAAAGAACTTGCAATATATTAACAATATATGTCTCCTTGACATGATCTCAGAAACCACAGAATCACTTAAAGTCTAGACTCTGACGGAAACCAGGTTACACTATTATATTCTATCAACGGATCCTAGGAACTTCTTAACACCACAGATTCAAAAGGTAAAGTCCTGCACTGGGCAAAGGGATGGATCCAGAAGTAATGGAAGCATGACATTTCAGGAACACAGGACACAACTACAGACTACACTAATTCTGCCATTCATCAAATAACTTTTTTTTTAATGAAATATTACTACCACAAAAAAAAAAATCTAAAAGAGACTTAATAACATGAGAAATCTTGATACAATTTATTGAAAACTAGCGAAGATAAGAACAATTTAAAGTAAGACTTCATAATTAAACAAACAAACAAACAAACAACAAAACTTAGGGTTAAGTTAGAGTTTGATACTGGATTCGCTTAACCAGATAACACATGATAACTTTTCGGTTGGTTTAAATTTTTGTACATTCAAGTGGAGATGTACAGGGAAAACTTGTCTCTGTTCTTACATATCCCTTCTTCCTATCACTCATTCTCTGAATTTTAGGGAATATTGTACTACAATAACATTAATTTGAGTCAAGCCCCACTGATCTGAAGAGGTTTTAATCCCTATTCTGCAGACAAGGTGGAAAAAAAGACTTCAACTTTGTGATAAAAATCACCATGAATAGTTCACAAATGTCAAGTATCTGATCTTACTGCACTTAATCTAGCAGCTTAACTGCATGATCAAACTTCAGAATTTTCTCTCGCTGAAGAGTCCAAATATTGAAAGGTTAACTATTTAGTACCTTCCGTGCTGCAATGTTAAAGTGAACACACCACCAACCTGACTGTATCACAAACCTCTATGGATTTGCAGATTTTGTTGTAACGTATGTGTTATGAAAGATATAATGCTATCACAATTAAGGTATTAAATCAAGATAATTCCTTACAGCATAAACATATTTATAAGCAGACTTAGTGCCCGAAATCTGAAAAGGAGTTAAATAATGTTGGCAGTATGAGTTTTAATCAAACATCAAGTGTTTATGGCAGTCACAGTGGCCTACACACATCCATTATGCCCAACTAAATTCATTCAGTAATGAGAGTTTGGTAAGAAGAAGGTGGATACTTATAATTTCCATTTAAATTCAGCATGCAGCTCAGCACTAGACAGAAGTTGGATGCCTGCCTTCAACGTAGATGATGTGACCTTTAAGTAAGGTAACACATATGCAACAGATTTTCCTTTTTTTAGTTGAATTTTATAAATCATACTAGGTCTTATAAGGTAGTATTTGTCAATAGAAGACAGTCCCAATTCAAGTAACAGAATGTCTGAACTAAATGCTTAGACTGTCTAAAAAAACCTCAGCAATTATTTACCTTAAAAACAAAATAAACCCCACATACCTTTCTGGAACTCACGAAAAACACACACATACACAGTCAAGTATGACTGCTTTAACAGAAAAGGGAAAAAACTATGTAGTAAGGTTGGATTTCACTACAAATCCCACAGCCAGACAGAAGAAAATTCTAGTTTCCAGAAGATTAGAGGAATCTTACTTTAAATGGTCAGGTGTACTCAGAACAACCAACAAATATAATGCACATGCATGGGCTTCTTCACTGCTGCTCTTTTGAGTTTTTTTTTGTTTTAAGGTAAATAATTGCTGAGGTTTCCTAAGAACTGGCCAATTTGAAGAGAAGCAAGCCAGAAATCCGGATATAATCTTAGAAATCTGTTGTGTGTACTAAAAATTAAAGACTGAAACACAAAACATAATTTTCATAGCACAAATCAAGGACAATGAAGCACTGTGCTAATTTGCGTAAACATATAAAGGATTTTAAAAAGGGATGGAAGGAAGTACCCATGTTCACAGTTAGCAAGAGCTGCCAAGGAAGCACTTGAATGTATTGAAAAATAACAGACTCTTGCATAATGGCACAACTTTTAACCTGTAACAAAAAAACTTGCCATTATTAAATCTATTTTATTTTAAAAAAGCTTTTAAGTTCCACATGACATCTTATTAGTCTATCGCAAAAACCAAGACATTGTCTGTATTCCCATCAAAGGAAGGGAGGGAAAATGTAGGTGCACTCTCATCAAAAGCTTAGTGAAATCTTTTTTGTAAACATCTGATCATGTCTGATCAGATGTTTACATCTGTGGAGAGAATGCAATGGTTGCTTCTTTGTTTCATTGGACATTGGGAAGGCAGTGATTTTGGTTTAGGTTTACATGAACAAAGCCTATACAACAAAACTGCATGGGCCAAGGTGATTTTTTAAACAGTGACAGGAAGGCAGAGATTAATACTTATATAAGCCTACATGCCTTTTTTCGTCTTCATTAATATAACATTTAGCTAGAAATCATGACTCTTCAGACAAGTTCATTACCGAAAACTTAATAAAATGTAAATAAAATAAAGCATTACAGACAGACACTTAAGTTTACTCAAAATAACCTAGTATACAATACTTACTATCCTGTAGTTACTGTTCCAAACATACATTACATATACCCAAACAATCCCATATACAATGGTATGTTGGTTACAGTAACGATAACTTGAACTACTACAAGTGCAGAATTTTACACATCAGTGAAAGTTTCACTGTTCCTTGTCAAAATTAAGCCACTAAAAAAAAGCATGCAGGATAAGAGTATCCTTCATTCACCTAATAAGCTAAATTGTTATGTGGTCCTTATCGCAGTAGTCCCTAACAACAAAATGTTCATAACTAGCCTCATTTTTTCAGAAAATTTAGGATCTGTGGGGGTTAGTTTTGTGTTGGGTTTGTTGTTTGGTTTCCTTTTTTTTAATTTAAGAGTATGCATGACCTTAAGACCACCCGCAAGCTACAGAAAAACTAAATTAGAGTGGTATGTATTACATTTGGTTAAGACAGCGGATGAAGGGCCATCTAGGTTTTGAAATTCAACAAGATACATTAATATGTGGGGACAGGTTACAATTACAATATAAAGGCAAGAAGAGTCCTTATTTTGACTGAAGTATGTACAATTTTTGTATTCATTCTTCTCTATCAAACTGATGGACCACGAGTCCAAACTGGAAATTCTGGATTTGTTCCCTGTACGTTATGCAGGAGAGGACAAACATCACACAGAACTTAAAGGATTTATTTTCTCCAGTGACTCTGTGATAACAACAGTCCCAGTAACCAACAATGCTCTACGGATCAGCATGCAAGAACAAAGACAAGGACATCCCTCATACAGTTACGCATGGGTTAGATATTTGATGACTGACCTACCTGTAGCTAGCTAGCTTATGAACATTTCAGTCCTGCGAAGGTAACCAAATTGAGTGCACTTTAGCAACATGAAATGCTTCCAGAGAAAGTTACATGAATGCATCACTTTTTATTATATACTAACTAAATAGATCAGTCTGTTACAAGCTAGGGCCAGTAGTAACAAGCAAGTACAGCACTGAATGTTTATGCACTGTGCCTGTCAGCTCTAAATGCAAGTGACAATCTCAAGCTATCATGTAGGAGTACGAGTATTTGTTGAAGCCTTTAAAGGAATAATCCCTGACTCCTAAATCAAATGGTAACTTGCAGTAAGAAAAACAAAAAATGTATCCTGAGTTAACCTTGGCAATTCAGAGTCACGGAAAGAAGAAATTCTTGATGGGGACATTAGAAATATTCTTCTACCTACTAGCACCGTATAGAGGAAACAATGGCATATGCAGACAACATTGGTAAGGCACTGACAAGTATGCCAGCAAACGCTCTAACTCAATTTTAATAATCTTCCGGTATTTTACTGATCTGCTAGTTAACATTTTGGAAGAGGAAAGACCTTAACAATCTAGTTTTCTCTCTTCACTCAGAAGCACAGAAAATCATAGCTTCTTAAAATGCACAGCAGATAATGCAAACACGCTACAAGTTCTGTTCATTTAGCACTGATTTACATCAATGATCAAGTAGGTAAGTAAACATAAAACTACATGTAGTACCTCAGTTTCTTGCTATTTCCCATCATGTTGAGGCCAATTGAGTTCCCTTTAAAAAGTCTCAAGCTTCCAGCTTTGCCTCGTCTTGCGTATGTTTTTATGGTATCACCACTGGTGCCGATAGCGCCAGGTCGACAACGAAGCGACTGTAACAACAGAATTCACATATATTAAAATACTTGTATAAAAGTTAAAAGGAAAAAAATTAATTACAAAACATTTATATAAATGTTACTTTCATTTCATTTTCAGACTGTTTCTGTACCAAATTTCATGTAAAATATACCCCATCTACACCCTTACTCACTTGGATTCATTACTAAACAAAATATTAATATTTTCAAGGTAATATGAAGCATCTTGCAGTTGTAAGCTATGTCAAGTATACATCAAAAACACAAAAAGCATGGGGTTTGCCTACATCTCTTCTCCTTTTAGATATACACACACACACATATATATGCATACAAAAATGGGAAACTGACAGTAAGCAATCATGGGATATAATGATTAATATTTTAAATTAAAAAAATATAATCCCATTAATGATAACTGTCTAAACTTAAAACTAGTTATTCATGCTCATATTCTCAGAATACAATGCAAACCAACACGATCTATAGGAGTAAGAGGAACATAAAGCATTGAGGCTAGGCAGATAAACAGCTTGAGTGCATGTTGCTGAATCAATACATAAACTTTCATTTTGTAATACCACACAGATGACTACGCAACATTGTTTAAGAACCTAGCAAGCATTAAAAATACATTTTCACTGTAAGTTAAACAGAGTACTACCTTTCTTTCTTCATTGGGACTGAAAGGCCCATCACTGTCATCTATGCTGAGCAGATTTGCCTCGCTAGATAGGTGTGGGAGAGAAAAGCAGATACGTTGTAATGCAACAGAGCACCAGCAAAACATCTTTTACACACAAAGGGGTTTTTTTCCCTTCCCTCTTTAAATGTAAATGCAACACATACATATTATATATATCTATGCCTAAAACAACAGGAACAAAGTGGGCAACTTGGTGATCCAGATGTATTATCTGCACCTGAACTTAAAGTGTACATTAAATTATTTCACAAACAGCATAATTAAAAGGATGTTATTAATTCAAAATTGAGAATACTATTGAATCTTCAAGATTGTTATGGCAATGTTACTGACACCACGAAAGATTCTATACAACCCTATGCATAAATTCAGTCAAATACTAAATTAACCTATAAAACATAGTTTTAGTTTGTTCATGCATATCAGCGCTCAAGCATGTGGTTTAAAACTGCAAACTTCAGTGCTTGAGGAGAAGAATTTACGTACAACTAAATTTGATCCCACAGCAATCACTGCCAAAATATGTCTTCCTAAAAACAGTGTATTCGGTTTGGCTCAACTGTTCATTAAGACATGGTTTTTTAATACTTCTATGTCTGCAATCTTCAACTATTGTAATAAGGAAGAAGACACAAAAAAAGAAACCCACCCCACGATACTGTGAAAACATACTCTTTTCGGTAACAGCAGTTATCGTCAAATAATCTTAAATGCTTAAATTAAAACCCCAGTCATACATTTTATACTGATAGCAGCTAGATTAGGCTAACACATTCTTGCTTCCAGGAGAAGCAACCTGCAACAATCCCTTCTCATCAGTCCTGGTAAGGTTACCCCTCTCTTGGCCGCAACAAAAGAATACAACTTTTAGCCAATTTGTGATTGCGTGGTTTGGGGGTTTATTAATTACAATCATTCAGGCAGAAATTACTTAAGAATACAAGCAGTTATGCCAGGAGTTCCAAGGGAACAGCTACAGAAGAGAAACAACGATGGAGATGAAGGTGGAAACCTTTCTTAGCTGCAGGTAGGACTGCAACATACATAGTGACTTTGGCTCTTTATATGTAAGGTAACCACTCAGTACTCTGGCCCCGCTGTCCTCCCCCCCGCCCCCAATTTCTTAAAAACTTCTTCCATGCACAAGATTTCCCTTCATGTTACAATTTATTCAATACAGATATCCCCACATCAAATAAACTAAAAGAAAAAAGTTCCTGACTCATAGGGTGAGAACTGCAGACCCTGAAAGTTCAGGAGGCAAGACTGTGCTCACAGTTGGTTTCAATATGGGAAGAATGATGTCAACATCAACACTTGGCCAGTGGCACTCTTCCATTTTCCTTTCCTTTACAGAGCACAACAATTCTAGGTAATTGTATAATGTTTATTTTAGTGTAGTAGATCATCACTAATTTCCAATAGAAAGCATCACAAAGACAAAAGAACATAGTTGTACTTCTGTACAGACTATCCATGGATATTAAAATTTTAAAATACCTTAACTTTTTTTTAAACTCTCTTTCAGGACAGATTATTCTTTCAAGGGAGGCTCACTGAGTTTTCTCAACCCTTCATCAGAAGACAATGAGTTTAATGATTTCAGAAATTTTGCAGATCCTAAAGAGCACCTAAAACCCTGCAGCACAGACATTAATAGTAACCTAAGTACCTGCAGCTCTGGCATTCACCTACGGTGTTGACCTAGCCAGATCATTTCACCTCTAGATACGCTTTACTTCTTCAGCTCCAGCTCATACAAAAATTGTGATGATTTTCAAAGTGCCCTTGTACAGCAGCTATACTTTTAGGGCTTCAAGATACCACCATACTGCAACCATTTTAACAAAGGGTGTTTGGGTGGGTGAGTCAGAAGGTAATAGACTGCAAATTAACAAAACACTGAAAAAAATCCTTAAATCAAACTGAACAAGAGTAACTCTTATGATGCAACTAAGATGAAATGACTAGAAAAATATTTGGGAATTGGATGTTTTTAAAGAACCAGTATTTTTCGATTTTAAGGAATGCAAAGTATATGCCTCGGTATCAAAAAAGCTGTTTTTTGAGAGAACAGAATACATAGCAACTGAGTAATGTCTATTTGCTCATGTATCACATGCCTACAGTTGCCTGCTTAAAAAATGCAATTTATACAGACAGGAAAAAAAAACAACACTACGCCACACTCCCACATACCAGACAATAACATCTTAACACTGCTGACATGAAACATCAGTGGTCTTGCTGGGAGGAGGCTATGCCTCCACACTTCATCACTTTTAACCAGGGAACCAGAGAGGTATTTTCACACTAGAACTATAATTTCTAACTTTTCAATACTTTAATTAAAATTTTACAACAAATGAAAATTAAGTCTTTACTAAAATTAGGCGGGAAAAAAAAAAAGTTATTTAGGTAAACAGAGTTCTTTCCAAAAGGCAGTTCATAATTACGCATTCAAATTTAGGCACTGAACAAGAAAAAAAAAACAAAACTCTGTTTATTTATCTCTAATCACTTATCATTTGTTTAATGTTTTAAAATATTAAGAACTGTGCAACAGCTAGTTAGATACTTCAGTTTAATAGACCATGTTTTTACTACTAGCTACAAGCAACCCAAACTTTAAACCTCTGTTGATCATTGAGGTTACACTCCAAAGAGCTGCAAGCCTATTTCTATCAACTACCAACTGATCCCAGTCATGTTTCAAACGTGATTGGAATTTCTTTCTGAAAACTCTTACATATAGAAACAGGAGACTGACCCATTTCCCCTCACAGCACACTGTGTACATTCTTTAGTTGAAATTACATGGTGGTAAGCAGCACATTAAAAAAAGCCCTGATATCAGAGGCACAAGAGAAGCAGGGGTATTATTCACTCATGCACAATGCCATCCTGTTAAAAATAACCTTAACTAAAACTATTAAGAGGTAGGAACTGAGGTTCTGAACAAAAAGTTCTTTATCAATTTAAAGGCTATACTGCCTTACTAACAGGGTCACAAAAGCAGTATAAAGTATCTTCATAAATATGGTGGGGTTTCTGAGAAAGGAATAAAAATGAAAAAAAGTATTAGAAAAAAGCTAAACAATTTTTTTTAAAAAAAAAAAAAAGCTGTCATTGCTTTTCCAGTCAGGAATACAAGGGAACAAGCAGTTTATCCCCCTAAATAAAAAGGGGGAAAAAAAATTAAAACTCTTTGAAAGAAAATGTTAGTTAAGAAAGGATACCATAGTGCAAGTAAATTAGACAGATCCATTTATTTGTTTTCAGTTTTTTGATAAGGCTATTATTGAACAAATGTCAGTGGAAGGTCCAAGTCTGGACTACTGAAAAAACAGTATGACAGCCAAGAAAAAATTGGGCCCATTAGTTTACAAAACAACGGAGGGGCATATTGAGACATATTTCAAAACATTCACCCAGACATTAAAAAGAAAGTAAATATAAATTATTCAAGACACCTCAAGAACAATCATCTGTAAAACCAGAAAGCATCTTCTAACATGTTAATTTCAGAAATCAATTTAATTAATATATTACTTTGGCCATGTTTGCATAAATCTTCCATCCTTTCATGTCTTTGCTACATAAGATGCACATAATTTCCATCATTTATTCTGTGACGGTCTACACAGGTTTCAGTGTGTTTAGTTGACCAAACGGTCTTTTTTTCTGTTGTTCTACATAAAGGTTCCTCTCCTTCTGCGTGATCTCCAAGGACAAAGCAAGAAAGTCTCGAGTCACTTGCTATCATCTTTATTGCTATCTTAAGCAGATCAAATCTTGTAAATCATCAAAAATGTTACTTTTACTTTTCAAGCGGACTGAAGATTATCTGCAGGCATTTACTTTGGGGTAAGGTACTTGTCAATTACCATTTTGAATTTGCATAACTCCGGTTCCACGCTGAGTATAAGCTTTAGCAGTATTTAAAAATGTACATACTGTGTCGGGTGATCGTGTATTTTTCCAAATCTTCAGTTTACAGAAGTTACTCTTTTTGTGTTCATTACTTGACACCTTACCATTATGACACAGCCTATCTAATTCCCCAAATAAGTTAAACTACACGCTTCTTTTAAAACAATCTACCTATTCTATAACTTGCTTTGGTAGGAGGTCATTAGCCACGTATTTTGTGTTCATCTCACTGCGGAAAGATAATCCAAGCAGACATCCAGTATCGACCAACAACATTAGCACAGGTCTCATGGGGTAATACAAGAATACAGCCAGTCCTTTAAGTGCTGGAATGTTATTCTTGCGCCAGTTCAAAACAAACTTATTGTGTGTCTGCCATTAAGAGGGCAAAAAGCTGTGATAAGGTCAGACATTAAAATGCTAGTGCCTCAACAACAAGCATGAGATGCATCCAGATGCTTGCTTCAGATTTACAGCTTTCTCCACACAGGAATGCAGTAGGTTACAAGCAATGCTAGTAAATATCAGCATACCATAGCAAATAAGAATGACTGTTTTTAAAAATTGCCAGAAGACATACTTACTGCATAGTATACTCAAAGTATTTGAGGTGCACCAAGTTTTATGCTGGAACAATTCTGTGAACTAAAGCTGCTAATTTTGAAATGTTCTGCTAAGGGTAAAGGGAATTTAGAAAGAAAAGGACAATTTATTGTAAAATAATCTGTTTTCTAAAGATTCTTTTCTGTCCGTACTTTGTTGTACAAAGTAAAAACGTATCAGAAAAGCAAAATACACAAATTATTTCAAAATGCTCAAAGCTTACAATGCCCTTAAGACAAAAAAAACCCCAAACAACTGACATGTTACCAAAAGTAAATGTGTGGGCACCTTAAAACATATAGCTGTCTGGAGAGAGTGAGAAATTCCCTGAAATGGTATCAGAGGATGGGTAAGCTAAAAAGGCAGGATTGTCAGTTTAAATCAATTTTCAACTACTCTTTTATCTATAATTCCAGATAAGATTCTGCATAATTCACAGGTATAAAAACAAATTACTGATGTGAGTAGGTAATCAAATTTCAATACTGGCTACGGGAAAACTGTTTATCATACAGAATATTTGAAAGGAATGAAAAATCACTCAGAAATACCATCTAAAAATCAGATACATATATAAAAAAAGTATGTTCCATAATCCGTTTTTAAAACTTTTTTTTTAGCATCACTATACTATACATATCTCTTTCCGTGTTCTTAAGTCAACATTAGCTGGAAACAGATGGAAAACAGCAGTAAATTATTAGAAGAAAAAAGGCTGCTATACTTAGAAATGTGAGTGACTTATTTCTGAGACAAGTAAAATGCAAACATCGACTGTATTGTATGTATTGCCACTACACTTAAACATATTACTGTGCACCAGAAATGGCTGTAGAATTGCTAAGAAAAAAAGCAAGCTTTATTTTATAAAATTTAAATGCCCTCAGTTTGAGAATCTTTTAAAAAATGGTTTTAACTTCTGATACAGTTCTGTTTTAACAAAAGCTCTTAATGCTTACCTCACACTTCACTGAACTCCTGAACTCATTTTTTAATGACTAAAACATCACATTTCTTAATGTTTTTGTAAGATTACAGCACAGCCTGCTGCTGCAGCCTAAGTGGTTATGTGTCTACTTTCTTATCTCCCTTCCAGCGCACCATATTTGGCAGAATATTATGAGATACAAATTCATATAAGAATTATTTTTGGATTTAACCACGGGATTCAGTTTCTCCTTACTAGAGAACCATAACATCCTTTTTAAACTTGCAGGTCCTACTCTCCAAATACCTAAGATCCACAAATAAACCTAACATGCATTCTTCATGCATGACACTTCTTGTTCTTTTAACAATTCATTAGTCTTTTTGGAAATAAATATATTAATAACAAGAAAATACGTTAGTTACAATAAAATGTCACAAGGACAAAGTATGTATTCAAACTACACACAAACTACACACACACACAGGGTTTAAGTTTTAGTCAAAATCCAAACATACTAAGCAAAAGAAAAAAATGAACAGGGAACAAAACAGCTTTAACTCCACCCAGTGAGATAAGCACAAGGGAGAAAAACTTACAGTCTTCTAAGCTTAGTTTATGTAGGCCTAGAGCTACTGAGGGACCTTAATCCTAACTGTGAAGTACTGAGTAGCACCATCACCAAAGGAAAAGTAGAAGTTGCTTGGATACCCTACCTTCCCATGTCCTTACTTTGCATGTTGACGTATGCCTTGTCTGTGTTCCTTAGACTTACACAGTCGCTCCAACTTACTTTTGGAATGTACTGTGCCCCATGTTGTAGGCCCCATGTTCACAATTAAATTTACATTATAATGCACTTTTATATAGCAATACTATTTAAAATAATCACTTCTTTGAAACCATTTTTCTTAATCACTGAAAATTTTAAGATATTATATATTGTTTCTTATTAATAAATTACAAAAAAATATTTATTTATAAATAGACACTTATACTTTCAATAGCCTAGGTAAAAGCATCCTTACTCTTTCTCTGCATCTCCTTCACTTTCTTCTGCATGATCAAAGCTCCAATTATTTTTAAAACCTCCATCTCTCTTGGACTGTGATCTATCCAAAGCTGAAATGAGAACAAGTTAAGATAAGTCTTGATTTCAAGCCAAGTTATAATCAACACAAACTAGAGGAGTAAACCAGATGCATATATATTTTCCCCAAGTATTTATTTTGTTGATGTCAATGTTTAACTATCATTTGAGAAAGTAAGTTCATCAATGCAGTGGTGACTCATTTTCCTAAATAAATTCAAGTGAGTATCTGCCAACATCTCGATTACTAATGCAAAAAGTTAGCAAGCTATTAAAATGATGATATGAGGTAGTTTTACAAGAATTTCAACTGTAAATTTAAGGGTTCCTTCTCTGATATGAACTATATGGCACACACAGAAAGGGTCCTAAAATTTATTATTTAAATTTCTAACACTCAAGCACATATTTGATTTTTCCACATAAAAGCAACAGTTCTGAACTGCCCAAGTACAATTTCAACATAACATGCCCTTTTTTTTTAATCCAACATCTGACACTGACCTGAATTAACATCTGATGCTAAATGACATTTCAGTATTAGCACCAACTCAGTAAAAACCTGAACTTTCTGAGCACAGTCACACTACATCAGATTTCAGATTTATCTACTGCAATAAACGTTATGGATACTTCCATATAATATGATGGCATGGTGGTATTCTTAAGTGAACGAGGTCCAGAGCGTGGAGCCAGCACTCATTAAAGCAAGGCACTGTTTACCCCGGGCCCTCATTATTGAGACTAAGAGCTGTCTCACACAAATTCTGTATGACAAACTATGCAGCAACTTTGATTTTGGAATAATTTAAATGTGTCTTTTCTTACTATGTTTTGCTTTACATTGTTGGAAATGTATTTAGAAATAATGAATGCAACTCTATATTTTGATAGAAAAGAAAAAAAAATTACAACCAACAACAGATGTTGTTGTGCACACAAATATTTATTGCATATTCAACCTCTGCTTCCAGCTACTTGCATCTACCGAAGAGTTCCTGAGCCATGGGAGACATTTTTGTGTTTAACAGCCTTTGCTAGTCTTTTTCTTCTCCCCACTTGCTTCTTCTATCAAGTCAACTTTATAGAATCAACAGCATCTTGCAGCAGATAGCATCTCAGCTTAATTATACATAATATGAGTAAGTATCGCCTTTTGTTTGTCCTGATTCAATCTGGCATTTTTTGCTTCTACTTAGTACTCTACTCCTCCAGTTCTTACACTTTGGAAGACAGTAATAAGTATTATTCACTCATGATTGCACAGATCTCTCTTGTGTTCTTTCACAGTCATCCTTTCCCCAGGCAGAAAACAAAAAAAAACAAACAAATGAGTCTTTTTAACTTTTCCTCACGTGAAAGCTGTTTCATGCCTTTAAATCACTCTCAATGCTTCTCTCTCAACTTCTTCTAGTCTACTGTACCCTTTTTGAGATGAGAAGAGGATACCAACACTATGAGGAATATTCAAGATGCATACGTGCCATGAATTTCTACAGAAGCAGCCTGATATTTCTGGTTTGTTCTTTATTCCTTTCCTAGTAAGTCTTAACACCGGATTTGCTGTTTTCACTGCTATGGACAACTGCATTGATCTTTATGTACTAGATAATTCCATCTTTCACTCATGATTGGTAAGAACCAGTTCAGAGCCAATTATTGTCTATGAAAATTCTCTTTCCTATTTCTCATTCACTTACATTACTTGGCATTTACCTACACTGAATTTGATACATGATTTTAACCCACATAACTCAAATCCCGAGCATCTGCAATTTTCTTTAAATAGCTTGTCACTATACTAACCCAAGTAGTCTGCAACATCTGCAAACTTTGTCGCCTCGCTACCAAACCCTTCTCCTTGTATCTGTGCACCAATGTTAACACAGAATCTTATGCAATCCAATCGGTTAGTCCTTCTATTAACAAACCAAACCATTTTTGCCCTCTCTTTCCATCTGTTGCCAGTTGTTCCTTATAAAACTTTCCATTTTATCGAGAGGCAACTTAGCCTCTCCAAAAGCCTTTGGTAAAGGACTTTACAGAGGGAATGATGAAATTACTTCTGGTCTTCATTATCATTTCTACAAATTTGGGTTGTATGGTCACAAAGCTCACTGATGTGAAGTTCCTCAAATACCTCCACTGCCTTTTTAAAAAGCTGCTATCATACTAGCTACCTTCTTTACCTGTAGCAGAAAGATGATGCTAACCAACAAGTAAAATGCTACAGTCATGAGCTCCTCTATCCCTGAGTTCTTCTCACAACACTTGGATGAATGCCATTCGATCCTGCTGCCTTGTTCATTGTTTGCGTCACATACTGCAATTTCTTCCACTGATGTTTTGTTTTCAGTCATATACTCTATCACATTCCTTCTTCAGAAATATTCTGGCATGAAGACCTCTGCAAGTGTTGTCAAAGGGAGTGCAAGCAATTTCATTTTTCAGCTATGACCTTATATTCTCCAAAGTTGCCTTTTACAACTTGGTTGTCTACTGAGCCTACAGATACGCCAGAAACTTTTCTGCCAAGTTTGAAGAAATTCTTAACAATAGTTTTGATGCCTGTCAGAAGTTACTCATCAAAAATGCTTTTGCCTGTCTCATTATATGTTAAATCCACCAGCTTTTTATTATTCTCTATTTTCATTATTCAGATAAAAGTTCAGATTCAAGACAGATGATGGTTTATTTCAGACACTTCACCTTACCCTCCTGTCTAGCTATGCCAACATTTGGGGAGGGGCTTTTGAAGTCTATTTAAATAAGCAGCACACAGGTGCTGTACGCCTCCAACATGGCATCTTTAAATAACTCCCAAGCTGTCTGCAAATATTTTACATCCCGGTTGCATCTTTTAGTTCCTTTTCCAAAAGTTTCTTAAGATTTTCCATAGTCCTTTTTTTTTTGAATTAAGCATGTTCACTGCTACAGACCACCTCAGTTTTCCATGGAAGAACACTCTTACTCTCCCAGCTCTGTTCACTCAGCTCTGGATTAATTTTCCCTCTCTCTAGCATTCTTAGTCCTACCAAAGATGCAAATCTAGCAGCATACCATCACGTTAGTCAGACTGTTCACCCAAGTTACTTGATTTGAATGGTCACTTAGAATCTGATTCTATAGAAGTTTGTTTGTTTTTTTTTTTTAAACAGGATAACAAGTCATCTGTCACACAGGCTAAGTTTCTAACTATTTTGTAGCAAGACTTAAATTTGGAACCTCTATGTTGCAATTTTTACCATGTATACCATCAAGGCCATTTTAATCAGCAAGACACATTCATACCCAGAAGGTGAAAATATTCAAAGAAGCAGAACTGGCCCTAAGATACTAAGCCAACAGAAGTCAATTGCTATCCCTCTGCCCAAGAAAGTCAGCAGGCTGGAGCCGATTTCACTAGCAATGACAAATCATTTTTCCTTCCACTACAAGCTCCCTTCAGTGCTGTTATATGAAGATGTCATATGTGAGATGACATAATTCTGAGCCCAAGAAAATAGATGGAATTTAAATACATAATTTAAACAGCAGTATCTAACATATTTCACTACTTTTTTAAACAATTGTCATCAATTACGTGTCATTTTTAAAAACCCAATTAAAAAATTTCCTAAAGAAATAATTTGTATTTTAGTTTTCATTAGAACTTTAATGGCATTATTAACCACATCCTGAAGTCAGCCTTTTAAAAATCCCCATGCAGCCTTTTTGTGTAAAACCCAACTAACAAATGTTGGATTACAAAACAAAGTACACTTGTAAGAAAAATGGCAGAAAGCAGATTAACACCTTCAAGTTATCGTGTGTGGACACTGTTTTGTAAACTCCTTTAGCAGGAGTTTCTATCATTCAACACTGTCCTTAAGCAATTCCTAAATGGGAGGAAAAAAGTTCACAGTGAATCTCCATTAAATAAGAACAAAGTTATGCATTTGCAAAAAAAAACTTTTTAAAATCTACCTAAAACACTTAAGTGAGGACTGACGTACATAGTATTTAGTAAAGTGCTAGAGTCCAATGGAAGCTATCGACTTAGAAGATTTTTTTGCATGTCTTGTACCTCATGCTCTAAGGCCAATCATTCCATAGGAATCTATATTACAGTTGACCAGAAAAACATACCTATTTCTTTATTGTTTTGGATGTGATGCTGTATTGGGTTTGCATGGCAAGGTTTTGGTAGCAGGGGGCTACAGGGGTGGTTTCTGTGAGAAGGTGCCAGAAGCTCCCCCCATGTCCGATGGAGTCAGCGTCCCCCCTGGTCCGTGGGAGCCACCGCCAGCCGGCTCCAAGACGGACCCACCGCTGGCCAAGGCCCAGCCCATCAGCCATGGGGACAGAGTCTCAGGGAGAACAGAGTTAAGAAGGGGGGAAAA